ACGCTGGCATCTTCACTCATTTTTTATTTCAAAGGGAACACCTCAAAGTTTCATCATTAGGTTTTTTTGATACATAACTTTTAGAGTTAGGCATTTCTTTTTATCTCAAGCTTGTAAAAATCTTTAATCATGCCTGGATTTCCAATAAGTTTATCAAACATTTTCCCTGTTATCTATTGTTATCTATCTATTATTATTTTTATTTCAGTGTAATCTATTAGTATGTTATTTGAGTGAGTTTCTAATATTAAGCCAACTTTGCATTCCTAGAATGAATACAACTTGGTCACAAGTGTGGGTCTTTTTATATTTTGCTGGATTTGGTTTGCTAACATTTTAACTGGAACTTTTGTTTTTATTTTCCTGACAAAAGTTTGCTTGTAATTTTCCTTTTTGCAATGTCTTTGTAGGGTTTGGGCATTAAAGTTTTTTTAAGCCCCATAAATAATTGCAGAAGTCACTCTTTTTCTAGTCTCCTGAAGAGTGCATAAAATCGGAGTTGCTTTGTAATTAAATGGTAGTAGAACTCACCAGTGAAGGAATATCCTTTCTTTAATAGTTATGATACTTATCACTCAGATTTTTTGCTTCTTCTTACGTCAGTTATAATAAGTTGTCTTGTTCATCTATATTTTCAGTTTGTTTTAGTATAAACTTGATCGTAATATCCTTTTATTATCTCTTCATTGACTCCAGGACTTAACAGCAAATATCCTTAATGACATTGCTTATATGTGCCTTGTCTCTTTTTTCCCTTTGATCAATCTCACAGGAGGTTTATTAATCTTATTATTTTTTCAAAGGACAGAATTTTATCTTTTGAGCTTTTAACATTTTTTTTGTGTGTTTTCTATTTCATTAATTTTACTTCCACTCTTATCATTTTCTTCCTTTAATTCCTTTGGGTTTATTTTGGTGAATTTTTCTAACTTCATGAAATAGATGATTTATTCATTGACTTTGAATTTGTCTTCTTTTCCTTGAAATGTTTGTCCATATCCCACAGATTTGATATAATTTTTTTATCATTCAGTATAATATTCCATATCCTTTCTTCCTTGACTATAGTTATTGAGAAATACATTTCCTAATTTCCAAACATGTGGGGATTTCCTAGTTATATTCCTGCTCTTGAGTTCTAGCATAACCGCACTGTCATCAGAGAAACCAGACTGTATGACCCCAACCTTTTGAAAGTTTTGAAGCGTTTTTTTATGGCCTGACATGTGGTGAACTTTTGTAACTGCTTCACATGCACTTGAAAATCCTGTTTATTGTGGGGTGGAAGGATAAAGTGCTCTACTTGTGTTACTCATGTTGTTCCAATTGTGCAGATCATTCCTCATTTTTGTCCACTTCAGTTCCTGAAAATAAGTATAATAAAATTCCCCTCTATGGCTGTGGATTTATCTGTTTGTTTTGTAGTTTTGACAACTTTTTAAAATACGTATTTTGAATGCATGTTGTAAATGCACAGAAATTTAGAATTACTGTATCATCCTACCAAGTAAAACATTTATCACTTGAAATGCCTGTTTAATGCTATTAATCTTTTTGCTCTAAAGTTTATTTAGTTTTTATTAATACAGTCTCCCCGGCTTTCTTTTAGTACTGTTTCCATGCTTTTGAACATTCTTTTACTTTCAAACTTTCTGTGTCCTTGTGTTTTAGGCATGCCTTTTGCAAACAACAGACAGTGTTTTTTTTCAAGTCTAGTCTGATAATCTTTGATTATTAACTGGAGCATTAAATCGGCTAACATTTATTACAGGAACTGATAAATTTGGATAAAAATCCATCATCTCCCTGTGTGCTTTCTATTTGCCCCACTATTTATGTTCCTGTTTCTCTCTTCTCTTGCCTTCTTTTGGACTGCTTGAATGACTTTTTATCATTTGTTTTCCTTCTCTTTTAGTTTTGGAGTTGTATACTTTATTTCTATTATTTTAGTGGCCACGACATGCATTCTTGAAATGAAAACATGCATTTCCTCTAGGTTTATATATACTATGGTTCTGTATATGAATATGAATACTGTCACCTCCTTGGACCTTCTTGGGGGTCCCTGAGCAGTCTGAAAACCATGAGACTGCATGAGCCAGACCTCCATCCACTTTAACATTCTATAAGTATGGAATTGCACCTTTAAAATGTTACCTGAACCAGCCCTGTTAAGGATAATGCATTTTTAAAATGCAATCACGGAGAAATGAGGCATAGGTTTTTCAGTTTTCCAAAAGCGAGGAGGTTGGCGCCTAAAAAGGACCATCTCTTTTCAGTCGAGTGCAATTGAAAAGCTGCAGGAAACACTGGGAGATCTGCATATAAAGTGAGATGTGAGCACATATCAGGTGATTAAAGAACTGTCTTTGCTAGCAGGCCTGCAGCTCACCTAAGATGATTCCAGAAGAGCAGAACCACTTTATTTCTTACTAAAAATATTTTTGTTTTCCTGTTTCCCCAGCAGACCCAGGCTTGTCCCTTTCAGCACTGTGGATACAGATGGAAGAGGCAAAGTCCTTTCTGTGTCTAAGTGTATAGAGTTGTTCAAATGATGTGAGGAAGAAAGTTTAAACTGCTTGTTTGTTTGCTTGAAAAGGGATGCGTTTTTCCTCATCATTAATTACAAGTTAAAGCCATTAAAAAGATATTACCAGTTTCTAGGGGGGGAAGGTTAGGAGATGTTGCTTGGTGCAATTAAACTTCCATTAAATTATGCCCCACACAAGCCCTGAAAGCAGATAAGTTTTTACTATTCATATGTAATTTTGTTCAGTAAAGTGGAAACACTTATTTTTCTCTAGCTTGGTTAAATATATACTAAACATACCTATTCTTGTTATCCTAAATGTTCACCTGTGCCCAAAGCTATGGGATAATGCAGCCATAGGCCTCTTTGACATCTTGGTGTGGGAAGTATGCACCTTTATTTTATAGAGCACCCTGCTGGCCTCTGCCCTGACTTGGGCACCCAGGCTACAAACAGTGACATCACAACACTAAGCTGCTCACTTCCTCCAGGAGCTCAAACTTTGTTTCCCTATTAAGAAATGATGTTTCTCTGACTTCATGGTGATAGATGGGGGGCTTTACACCTTCTAAAGGGCAAATGATTCAGCTTTGAGCCACAGAGTCATTGGTCTTCGGGGAAAGGATTCCAGAAGCTCTAACTCTCCGGATGTAATTTAAGCCATTACAGTCTCAGAACCTGTATCTGTAAAGAACCCACAAGAACCTCTGCTCCAGCCTTACTTGCTCCCATCTTACAGATGAGACAGTCGATGCTCAGAGACATTAAATGATTTGTCCAAAGTCATAAGACTGGTAATTACCAGTGTTCCATAGTGTTGAAATCACGTGTCCTCCCCAAATACATGAAAATGAGGATTCCCGAATCCACACCAATTTGAAGCAAGTTTCATTTTAATGGCAGTTTGTCCCACAGCAACCTGTACCTTTATCTTACTGAGTTCCCGGCTTCGCTGGGCAAGGGAGACTTGGTACTACAACAACTACAAAATCACAGTCACAGTTGTTAAAGAGCACAGAGCCCCTCACTCGACTTTCTCCTTAACTTCCAGGATCTTTTGATGGATGAGGTAGGCATGTAATGTCTTTTGCAGACCAGAGCTTGACAGAGATCAAAAGCATCTGTCAAGAGAACCCAGGTCTCCTGCTTTGCCGTCTAGGACACCCACCAGATTTTCCTCTGTTAATTGGCTGTCATGCAGCCATGCTGTGGGTCTTCTGTGGCACATCTTGATTTAAAGTAAAATGTCAAAAAGCACTTCTCAATCACTCAGAACTTCCAGAGTTGCTCACATTTAGCTGATTGGACAGAAAGGAAGGCAGTCTCTGTGTTGTGTGGACATACAACTAGATTATTCAGGCCCCTCCAATTCAGAGAATAATTCTTAGAGATATGGTGGCTGAGGGGTCTGATTTCTGCCTAAGAAATGCTTTCCCTAAGGTCAGATGGAATTGAAAAGTGAGTTTATGGGAAAAATGCCACTGTGACCTTAAACATGAAGTCTTTGGGTTGACACCGTAACAAGGAATGGAGTGCTATTAAAATGTATTGCACATTTTAATAACTCCACTAGCAGTAGACCAAAAAAAAAAAGATTTAAGCTCAGAATAATTTTGGGAAGGAGGATTTTGCCAAGGAGATTTTAATGTCAAGAATGTCTGTGAGGCTAAAAATAAGGAGCTCACGCGCATCCCAGAGCCGTGGGTGGGGATGTATATATATATATAATCAAATTAAATTATTCCACTTCCACTTATGGAAAAATCTGACGGTAAAATTTGACTAGAAAACATTTAGTCATATTTCACTTGGGTTATGCTTATAAATATCAAACTCCAGACTTGCCAAAATAAGTCCCATCAGTGCTTCCTGGCCAAGTTATTAGATAGACAATGGTTGTGACATGTGAAAATGATAAAGATCTTACAGGAACATCATGCCTGGGAAAGCCACAGGAATGTAGCTCCCAACTAAAGAGGGAGAAGTGTCCTTGAGGTGTGAGGAATGGAGCCCAGAGCGGCCTAAATGTAGAATGCAAAAGGTGGGGAGACTTCAGAGAGCTGAAAGGACATGTGTGAAACCCAGGTCCCACCTCGCAAAGTCTGGAGGCTGGGGACCCCTGACTTTTTGCACTGTTTCTTTTCCTACCAGAGAAAGCAAGCCTCAGTTTCTACCTTGCTCTGGAGTGCCAGCATTTGTGTTCTTTCTACAAATCATTTGTTGATACAATGGAGCTGTGAGGTTGGCTGCTGCCAATATATCCATCTGCCAACCAAGGCCATCTGCAGAGGAGACACAAAGCATCAATGCCTGGAAATGAATTTGTTGGCATTTCAAGGACAAACATCTCTTTGGCTATAACTACTGAGACTTCAATCCAAAAATGGGAGGAAAATCTAGGTCCAGGTAAGTCTTTTATTTACTTCTTTAATTGTAATTATAAGACACATGTACAACTATGCTTCTTTAGTCCCCTCTGCTTGCTCAAGCTTGGAGCCTGGGCCAGTGATGTCTCTGTCCATTGATTCAGGTGCCGACCACCTGGGAGTAGTGGGGAAGGAAGGGGCATCTCTCTTGGCTGGTATGAATAGTTGGTGACTTCATATTAACCAATACTTGCTGATGCAGGTGACACACATTAAGGCATTTGCCTTGTGCATCCCCCGAGTGATGAAAGGTGCAGGGTGGAGAAGTTGGCTCAGGCTTTGTGCACATGCCCAAGGCGGTGATGGAGACCCAGGAGAGCTGATGGGGCTCAGCCTGACACTACCCCAGGGTCTACATGAATTCTGGCTTGGACAGAATCTGCATCTCATGCCTCTCACTTCTCTCCCGACATGTCATTCTGGAATCCCGTGATCTTTGCTCCCTAGAGAAAGAATAGAGCAGAGAAGGAAAATAATTTGACCTGATGAAAAGGGAAGTAGGGATGTTAAAAGATAATAGTTATAGAGAATGTATTAAGGACCAGATACTGTGCTAAGCACTTATATGTAACCCCCTCACCTTCCTTCCTCACTGCTCACATCCCTCCTTCCCACTGGTCAGCACCAGAGCCCAAAGGACAGAAATATCACTGGCCAAGAGGTCGGAACTGCTATTAGCCCAATTTTACATGGGAAGAAATGGAGGATCACGGAAGGTAAGTAACTTTCCCTAGGCCCCAGGTAGCTATGAATCAGCAATGGCAGGATTTGAACCTTGGCCATTGACCCAAGATGAAATCATTTTACAATTCTATCGCCTTTGGATTTTTCCACCTGCTCCCTGTAGCTTGTGTAGTAAAACAGCTGAAAAAGAGCAAAATGACTGAGTAGTTGTGGGAGGGATTTGATTTCAGCTCTGTGACTAATTATTCTTATAATCTCAATAATGTCCCTTTACTTCGGGAGCCCTAATTTGTTTATCTGTAAGATGATAATAAAGTTTCAGTCTTGCCATTACCACAGTGGCATTGCATTAAGACAACTCATGGGGAGAAGCTTTGAACTAAAAAAAAAAAAAAAAAGGTCTTTGATGTGTGACCTGATTAGGATGCCTGCTATAAGAGGTGATGTGTGCAGGAGAAAGAGCATGAGCCCTGGCCGGGGCTGGATTTGAATTTGTCACACTGGCAGAAACCTTTTGACCCTCAAATGTCTCATCTATAACCTGCCAGGGAGCTCTGGCGTGAGGAAGACACACGTCCACGTTGAGTGCCCTGGCCAGGAGCATGTCCTTCCCGGGCAGGAATGCCCCTTACCCGCAGGGGAAGCAGATGGAGCCGCTGAAGACACAGTAGATGAGGGGGTTGATGGCGCTGTTCAAGGCTGGCAGGTTCTGAATGATCACAGAGGCATAGAAACGCTCCTTGGTGTTTGGAAGGAGGCTGAAATTGTCCAAAATGTCGAAGAGGAAGTATGGACTCCAGCAGCAGATGAAGGCTGGGGAGAAGACAGCCATTAGCATCGCAGCAGACCACAGCCCCGTGGGGGGCTCCCCGTGATGGCCCTGGCAGGAGCTTCCGCGAGGAGGTTCCTTAGCACCTGGAATCTCTCCAGAATATTTAGAACAGTTGTGTGTGTTGACATTAGTGTCATGTTTACTTAGACACACACACACACACGTACGTGCATGCACATTGCATAGATACATTTCTAAATTTGAGTAAATTTGCTAGAGCTTCTCTGTCTGTAAAGGGAGGGTCTGATTTGACTACTGTTGTAACTCTTTATTGAAAGGCTAGGAACTGATCAGCATGGCCTTAGCCTTTCATTCAACACAGTGTGAGAGAAAATCCAGCAAAACCCTTTGGAGACTGTGGGAAAAGACAGAACAGGAAGCCCTTTGTGCAGATAGTGACTGCTGGTTTTAGGGTGTAGCCAGGGGAAGAGGGGGAGGAACGGGTGGTACCTGATGTTTCAAAACACAGCCTGCCTGAATCACAAGACTCTCGATTTTCTTTTCCATTTCTAAATCAGCCACTTCAGAAAACACCCACCTTAGACCCCTTTCCAAATCAATTGGTGTGTGTGTGTGTGTGAGAGAGACCCTGATTCTGTTTGGATCCAAATCCTCAGAGGAAAGGGGTGGGAAGTGGAGATCCGGAGCATGATGGCCAGTTCCATGTGCCACCTTGACTGGGTCCTGGAGTGCCCAGATATTTGATTAAATGTTATTTCTGGTTGTTCCTGTGAGAGTGTTTCTGGCTGAGATTAACATCAGAATTTGTCCTCCCCTCTGTGGATGGGCCTCATCCAGTCCCCTGAAGGCTTGAAAAGCACAGGAAGGCTGAGCGGGAGAGGCTTCACTCTCTGCTTGACTGTCTTCTGGCTGAGACCCTGAGCTGCTTTTGCCTTCACACGTGGACTCCGAATGAAACAGTGCTGTTGGCTCTCCTGGGGCTATAGGTCTTGAGGCTCCTCAGCTCCACAGTCATGTGAGCCAATTTCTTATAGTAAATCTCTTTACACATATATGTCTTATATCTATGGAGGACCCAGATTAACACCACGTACACAGAGGTAAACCTTCTTGGGGTTAACTGGACACACACGTGGGCTCTCCTACTTTCTCTCCACATCCTTTCCACCTTCCTTCTGCCCCTTTCTGCCCATAGGGATTTTCCTCGGAGAATTCAGGCTTCTTTTGCCCTCCGCCTGAAGAAACCAACTTTCCTCCATAAATCTCTGACTGACGCATGTTTTTTTCCCCCTCAGACCCTGGCAATCTGTTAAAGGAGAGCAATCCAAACACAAAGACCACTGAACATTCTGGGCTTTGGTGGTGAAGCCTGGCATTGGCCCAGAATAGTGTTTCTGGGACATAGAGGGACAGAGCTTCTTTGCGGAGGAATTTTGAAAATGTGTGTTTATGTATTTGTGTGTGTGTGTGTGTTTGGGGGGAGGGTTCCGGTTTTCCTAGGGATACGAGTGCCTGCCCCTGCGCGATGCAGGCAGTCCTAAGCATGTCCTCACATTCTTTGAATGCTCATTTGGACATTCATGTAGCAGGGAACCCTGTTTATAATTACCCCAGTCTGGCAGCCTAACTCTGTCTTATAGATGCACACAATATTTTGAATGTACTGAACTTTCCAGAAATGCAATTCCCTTGTAAAAGGAGAAAAGATTAATTTCTTTAATTTAGAACTTTAGCAGGATTTGTTCCTCTGCTCAGAAAATAAAGTCAGTGGCAGCAGTACTGCTTTATTTTTTATGTCTCCATGAAACACACCTGTACTGGGTTTCATTTGTAGCTAGTGCTACATCTGACTGACTACTTCATTATTCTACTAGTATGGCTGTGCCCATGTATTTCTATATTGAAATCTGCATTATTTTATTATAAATTATTTTCTTTCTATTCCTCTTTTATATTATTATATATTGGTCTTTTAAGAATTATCTTAGGTAGCTTGTTTTATATATACATTTCACTTCAGCATGGTAAAGAGGCGTAACAAAATATTCGTCACAGGAAGGGCCGTTTTGATTGGGCTGTTGACATTGGCCGACCTGCTTGTGGGCACCCCTGCTCTCTGACGAGAGGGACCCCCAGCGCCTGGGCACGTGGTTCCTGATTACAGAAGGCCACATTGGCTCCGAAACACATGTATAAGATGTGTTTCCTGGCTCAACATGCAGGGGATGTGTATCTGTGCTTCTCATTGTCTGGGAAGGCAAGAGAATCTCTGATCTACTTCAGAAGCTCTGGGGAAGGATTCTGAGCCCTGGTAGGTGGCAGGTGCTCTTTCCCCAGGTCTGCCTGCAGTGTTGTTTTGTGAGTATGTTCTGCTGGCAGAGTCACACTGCGTGTGGTCTGCATGGCATTTTGCAGTCACGTTTTAAGAAAGATGATGTGGGCTGTTCTGGTGATTTGATGTAATAGCAGAGCTAACAGGAGACCTGTGCTTTCCCAGAGCTTCCAAGAGCTGCAAGGAGGGTAGGGAGGGGTAGTCTTTGAGCTAAATAAAAAGGAAGTGGCACAAATCCCTTGCCTTCTTGCATATCCTCATTCACTCACTCCACAGATTTAATTAGGCACCTACTGTGTGCAGGACTTATTTAAGGACTTGGTGATGATAATGTAAGAAACACAAAAGCAAAAGTGATGGCTCTCATGGATTTATGATGCCAGCAGGGGAGACAGACAATAAGCAGATCAATACATATCCTGTATTGTCAGGTAGAAGTAGAAATACGAAGAAAAATAAGGCAAAGACTAGAGGAGTGCTATGTAAGACTTGCCAAGGAGGCCTTCCTGAAGAGGTGGTGGTGTTGGAAAACAAAATGATGTGGGGGACTAAGCCTTGCCACCATCTGAAGGCAGAGTGTTCTGGGAGGGGGAAGCAGCACCAGGTGTGAACAAGTTGACATTCTGAAGAAGTAGCAAGAAAGCCAGTGTGGCTGTTACAGAATGAGCAAGGAGGAGAGTGGGGAAATGGGACCGGAGACACGGCTGGGGGACAGATCACACAGGCTGTGTAAGACATGGGAAGAAGTAGGATTTTACTCCAATGTAATGGGGAGCCAGGAGTGGGCTTCTAGAGGAGTGGTAGTGTCTGATTTACATTTTCTAAAGGATCACATTGGCTGCGTTGCAGAGAAGGAATAAGAGATCAGTTGCAGGGTTGCAGGCAGAAGTTAGTGGGAGCTTAGACCAAGGAAGTAATTGGATAGTGAGAAATGGTTGATTTGAGATCTCTTTGGTAGGTAAAACCTCTAGGCCTTACTGGTGGACTAGACATGTGGGGTGGGAGAGAAATAGAATAAAGACAGACAGATGACCCTTAGGTTTTTGGTGTGGACACTGGGTGAGAGATAATGTCATTTACTGAATTGGGGATGACAGGAGGAACAGTGACTTTGCAGGATGTAGGAGCCCATGCCGAGACTTCCGGTTTGATGTGTTGAGTATGACAAGTTTATTAGAAATATAAATAGTGATTTCAAATAGAAATCATAGATAAAACTTACAAGCAAAGAAAGTGTGCCAAAGAGGGGCTAATCAAATGTTGCTTAGAAGTCAAGTAAGGGGAAGACTGAGAATTGACATTTGAGTTAGTGAATTTCTATTGTCAATGAACATCACTTTTAGGAGACTGAAGACACCAAACAAATTTATTTTTTTCTGTTTTAATTTGATATGTAGAATTTTTAAACCATATCAAATATAGCATATATTATCACACACCAAAAAATTGACATTTGGCATTTTGGGGGTTGTGGTGACCTCGAAAAGGGTGCTTTTATTGGAGGAATAGGGAAGAAAGCTAACAGAGATAGGCTCCAAAGAATGAGAGGTGAGAAGCAGAGGAGTTGTGCTAGAAAAGGGAGTGGTGAAGACGGTCCGTTACTGGAGACTTGATCGGGGGAGCTATTGACAGTATACTTATGTGCATATCATCCGGTTGAGGGGGACATCTGTGGGGGAGAAGACGTGATGGGAGGAACAGAATGCTTGAGTGCAGGAAGGAATGAGATACAGGGCTCAAGTGAGCATCTTGGGTTTAGAAAGAAGCAGAGTCAGTTTACTCACAACAGCAGGAGAAAGGACAGAGCACATACTAGAGATGCAGATAGGTCCATGGATGTGAAGGCAGGAGAATGAAGTTCTGTTCTAATAGTGTTTTCTTAGTGAAATAAAAATCAAGATCATTAACTGAGAAGCTGTAAGGGAGAGGAAGTTTTGAAGTTTTGAGAATAACAAAGTACATACACCAATCTGACACATATTAGGTGCTCTAGAAATACCTTTTTTTTTTCCCTGAGGTGAAGTGACTTTATGGGTTTTAAGAGTAGAGAGAAAGGAAAAGGAAAGGGAAGGTGACATGAGGGCAGAGAGAAGGCATCTGTTAGGGAAGAATTTATAGTGACCTTGAAGCTAAATATTCAGGAGAAAGGGAATGCCATTTCTGTGTTACTCCGGAGGCTGAACTTCAGCCCTGGGGAGTGTGCCTTAAGGAAATCAACTGGGTCAGCTGCATGATGGTGAGCACTCTCTTCAGCTAGTCATGTCCTAATTAGATTTTCTCCACATTATCCACCACGTGGCTGTGATGGACAACAATTTTCATAAAGAGAGGGGTAAGAAACCAAATGTGGACCCTTGAAGGAGCCCCAGGTGGACTGGTAAGTTCCATACGTTCCTCTCTAATTAGACAAAGGTAGAAGTGCCCATATACAAATTCTCTACTTATGTGGGCTCTCTACTACCAGGTTCTAGGTACGGGTTTGCTTTTGGAATGTCCACACGGTTCTGCAACACAAGGAGGGACGCCGCTTACCGAGAATGATGACAATGCTATACTTGATGGCCTTGATTTTTGCCTTTGAGATGAGCCCTCGGCTATAACTGGTGCACAGCTTTCCATCTGCAGATACAAAGGAGAATGTTAAAAAGAAGTGCTGTTTCTGCCAATAAGAGCATCGTAGGTTAGACCCACAGTGCCATGGGACCACTTACATCCTGCTCATGTATGTCCAGGAGGACCTCCTTGGACATTTTCAGGGTAAAGATGACTCTGGGCTGAATGCTGGAAACTGCTCAGTTTGCAGCTTAATATAAAATGCAAATGCATTGGGACATCCAGACTCTCAAGAGGCTTGGCTGTTTGCCCTGAGTCAGCTGAAGCTGGAATTAGCCGTGAGACCAGAGTGGGCGATGCTGAGACACCCATCTGGTCCCTTCAGCAACCTAGGGCAAAGCCTTCTTCCTAGAATCGTTACCCTAGACTAACTTGTTCATCTAACTCAGAAACTCCATTCTCAACAAAAGCTCAAGCCAGGGATATAATAAAAGTCTGTCCCAAATAGGAGCCTGTATATAACTTTAATCCTATGTTGGTTGCTCTTTGATAGTAAACATGTGAGGGGTAAATACAAGAATCCACTAGAATGCAAGCTTGATGGAGACCCGGACTTTGTTTTCTTCACTCCTATATCTTCTAAACTTAGTGAATGATTGATAAACATGTGTTGAATGAATTAATATAAACCTCTCTCAAGCCAAGAAGTAGTGGTAAAATAAATGTTGATTAGGTTGGGCAGAGTTCAGAGCAACAGTTCTTAGTAGAAGTAGTAGTTAAATGGCAAATTTGGGGTTGGAGATGCTGATACGGTATCAGGGTGATACAAGGTGGAAGACTTTACTGTCAGGGCTTCTATCAGCCCGTATGGTGCCTTTGTGAAAACTGGGAAAAGCGCCCTTCCTGTGGACGCCTATGGCCCTGTCCCAGAGCAGGCCCTCAATGAGAGAGGCATGGACGAAGGCCGGCCCCACACATCTTCAGCTGAGTGCCCATGATTAAGGCTCAAGGGGCACAACCCTATTGGTGGCCCAGGTCAGAGGCCCACCTAGAGCACCTAAGTCACATGGAGAAGGGCGTTGTACCTGAGAGGCCAACTGCGGTGCTTGCTTGTCCTCACCGCATTGTTCAGACTTCACGTTGGAAGTGTATTTAAATCCCTGTGGAAACTGGTGTGAAATTTACCTTTGCACTATTTATTCTACCTGCCTCCAATCCCATGCAGCCCAACCCACCAAGCAGAGCACATCTGCTTAGAGATAAGGACTGAACCAAATACGCTAAAACAGACTTCCTCTTCCCATGGAACTTCCACTGCGGCAGGTGATGTCACACACCCTCCACTAGGCTGGGTGAGATGAGAGGGACCAAGTCTGAAAACCAGCTATGAACAAAGAAGGGGGCCAACCCCTCACCATTATGGAGAGGAGGTCACATGGCAGAGGCAGATTCCCAAGGCAGAGCTGCAGGTGTGGACGTGAGACTGGGAAAGACACGTGAAGCAGAGGGAACATCCTCAGCCAAGGCACGGAAACAAAATGTCAGAAGTGTTCAGACCTCAGTGAGTCACCTCCCGTGCGGGAGCCTGAAAGGACACTGGGTTTGAGGGTGTTGAGAACTGAGGCCAAAGTGGGATGACCTTGACTGTCACCCTGTGGAGTTTGGGCTGAATTTCTGAGGCAGCCGCAAGCTGTTGAAACTTCTGAGTATTTTCACAGTGTGAACATTTACTCATGGGAGAGGACAAACTGTTAATAGGAATAATAGGAATAAGGGGCTTTCTATGTGCAATGAACTGAAATGCTAATTGTAATTGATTTTTTATTTCTTAATGTCTCGCCTGTAAGGCCGCTCTTAGGCCCTTCAAATTATCCTGTGCGTTTTGTAGAACCACAGAACTTCTGTGGTACAAGGAAGCAAATGCTTCAGAAGCATTTATAGCAGGGGTTTTCAACTGAGGGCAGTATTGCCCCCTGGAGTTACATTTGGCCATGTCTGGACGCATTTTTGGTTGTCACTGTTAGGGGTGGGTGCTACTGGCATCTAGGAATGCTGCTCGACATCCTCAAATGCACAGAACAGCCCACTGCATAAAAAAGAATTATCTAGTTCAAAATACTGGGAGTGCCAAGGTTGAAAACTCCTGATTTCCAAGGTGGCATCTTAGGAAGGACACAGACTTCAGGGTCAAACCTAAATGCACCCTCCAGTTCTACAACTTACTGCCAGCAATGTCACCTTAGGCAAATTGCCTACTGTTCTCAGCCTCAGTTTCCCAATTTCAAAAATGAAGTATAGAACACCAAACTCACAGAGTTATTTTGAGGATAAAAATAATGTATTCAGGATGCCAAGCCCCATGCTGAGAATGTCAGTTCCCTTATTAGTTGTGATGAATGAGGTTTTAATGGTATTTCAGGAGGAGAATGAGCTGCTTTTATGGACGTGAACAGAAGGTATTACTACATTTAGATAGGCTATCATACAATTTTATCTGTATATAGGAATTATATACATCAAAAAACGATCAGGGTGGGATTATACCCATGGGAGGCAAGTGAAAAAGACAGCGGATCAAATTATATCTTTTCAAAGTATCTGCATTTGCTGGACTGACAGTTGGCTCCTAAACAGTGCGGCTCTGAAGACTTAGTTGGCTTTTCAGAAAACTTCTTGAGAATGACATTTGTGCTCTGAAATCTGTTTAAAATGGAAACTGGCAGTCCTTTCCACAGGGCAACTGGGTGACAGTATAATCAACTCGTGCCCTTCAATCTCCCAGTGGGACCAGTGAAAAGCATCTTTAATCTGACCATTCTAGGAAATGCAAAGCCTCCAGCTTCTGAAGATGGCCCTTCAAAGTGAGCTGAGCTACAAAATGCTGATAATTCTCCTTTATTGGGAGATAAAAGGATTATTTCTACCCAGGCCTTGGTGCTGAGCTGGAGCGAAAAGCAGTTAAGTTCAGCTGTCACTGTGCATTAATGGGGGGGTACCCTAGAGGCGGTGGGTTGATTAGATTCAGGACTGGAAGCAGCATGCTGCCGTAGGCTGTCCTACTTAAAGGATGCTTCCCTAGCAGGGGTCCACGCTAGTCTCCAAGTGGCCGGTTCCTGCTTCTGACCTTCCTGGGGCTTCATGCCCATGGTAGAGCCAGTGGGAACCCATTCTTGTGAGCTGAGCACTGGAAGGGGGAGCAGTTGATGTCTTGGGATTTTAAATGAAGCAGAATTTATTCCTGGTGGGTTGGGGGACTGTCAGTGGACCTATAATGAGTGCCGGTGGTTTGTTTGTTAACAAGGAAGTTTACCCAGTAATATGTTAAAAGAAATACGTTTTCATATGTTGGGAATTTTGTTTTCTTCAGGTTGATTTTAAAAATTGAACATTTTTAAGAGTTTTGCCTGACTTCTAAAATTTTTAAAACTTAAAATTCATTTTCAGTTTCTAATCATCGGTGTCCTCTTTATCTGTAGCTATAATGAATGTTAAATATTTTTAGCAGGACATTATGTCTCATTTGCTGCAGGACTTCTGCCACTTCCTTCGAGTGGTGTTTTTTTTGACCCTCTAACAAACAGGAGGTCATAGCTAGACATGAGGAGGTTTGACCTAACTCACCTAAATCACAACCTCTTCTTTTCCTCAGCAACTCAGTGCAGGTGGAACCAGGAACCCTGACAAGCCAATAATGGTGGCAGAGACAGGTTAACTGTCCACTAAATCCTTTCCTTTGCCCTCAGGGCACTCAGAGGGACTACGTTTCTCAGCCTCCCTTTCTGCAGGGTGTAGTCAGTCCTGTGCCCAAGTCTGTCTGGGTACATGGGAAGGATTCATGTATATGTTCCCGGGCCTGGCTCAGATAAACCGCCTGAGTAATCCTTCACCCTCTCTCCCCTTCCCTGGCCTGCTGGATGCTGACGCTGAGCGATACCTCCGCAGCCATCTGTTAAGGGTGGCAGAAATCTCCGTCTGCTTGAGTTTCTGAGTGACTGTGTGTCCTTCCGTTTAACTTTTACTGTCGGTTGGACTTTAACTGAACAGAAAACAAACCCCTGTTTTGTTAAGGCTGTTGTATTTGGGGGTGTTGTCTGTTACAGGTGCTAGTGTTTCCTTAATTAAAGCAGAGATTGGTGCTGCATATGCAGTGCTCTCGTAACAAAAACCTAAAATATGTGACATCGGCCTAGTGGGAGGGCAGCAGGTGGCACGGAGACTGGTAGGACAAGCTGGGACACTAGAGCTCCACTGGATAGGAGTGTCACATACGAATGCCTACGATGGCAGATTGTCTGCCTACTGAGACTGGACCCCCAGGGGACAAAGGTGGCGTAGTCATCAGGACTCCCCAGAGAAAGAAAACCAACAGAAATACATATAAATACATAGTTATAAGAGGAAATTTATAGTAGGAATTGACTCATGCAGTTGTGGAGGCTAAGTCTCATAATCTGCTTGCTGTCTGCAAGCTGGAGACCCAGGAAAGCTATTGGTATAATTCAGCCCAAATCCAAAGGCATGAGAACCAGCAGAGATGATGGTATATGTCTAAATCCAAATGCTGGAGAAGCAGGCAACCAGGAGTGTAAATCTTGGTCCTAGCTGAAGACCCAAGAACCAGGAATTTCAATGTCCGAGAGCAGGAGAATATAGGCGTCCTAGTTCAAGCAAATTTGCCCTGTGTCAGCCTTTTTTGTTCTGTTCAAGCCCTCAGTGGATTGGCTGATACTCACAGGTGTTGATGAGGGTGATCTTTACTTAGTCTGCAGATTCAAATGTTTCCAGGGACGCCCTCAGACACACCCAGAAATAATGTTTTACCAGCTCTCTGGCTAGCCCAATCAAGTTGACACAGAATGAACAATCGCAGTTGGTAAACTGAATGTTAATAGTATGTGTTGATTGCTACCAGCTGTGTTTAGCAAAGTATTAGAAAAAAAGAGACAAACTCAGACAAGAGTTGGTTGCCTTCTGAACAAAAGTGAAAGGAAGTTAAAATTTGGGATCTTAACAGAGTTACAAGGGTCAATTGCTTCTAGACTCTCATAGCACCGGCTACATCCTTTGTGGGGCCCAGAACAAAATAAACATGCGAGCTGAGCACAAACGTGTATACCCTCTGAGTGTGCAGGTCCTGTGCCGATGGAGCCGGCCCTGGTACCCAGATTAAGTTAGAACACTGAGAAGTTTAAACCAACAATGACCCATCAAAAATCATTCTGGAGAAGATCAAACTAAGGATGTGGCCTCCCACGTATTGTTTCGAATGGTCCCAAGCTAGCTTCCATTCAGTTAAGAGACAAGAATTGGATGAGGAAGCACAGAATCAAGTCAGACTTGTGAATGATCTTCAGAAAGACTTTGCATGTGGTTGCTGGCATGTGAAGCTGATTGGAAGCAAATAAATCAGAAGCCTGCTAAGATTTTTAGAAATGATATTGCTAAATAAACCATGAGGTTTATATCTTTGTTAATACTTAGAAATAACAGACTTAAAAATTTTTACCAATTCTGTGGGTGAAAAAATGATACCTAATTGAAGTTTACATGTGCACTTTCCTGATTATCAGTGAGACTGAGAATCTTATTTTTGGCCATTTCTTTTCCCTTCTGTGAAGTGGCTGTTTGTGTCTTGCTCCTTTTTCTTCTATTTATCTTTAAAAATTTTTTTTTAATTGATTTTTAGGAGTTCTTCATACATTCGAGATCCTAATCTTTTCCCAGGTTATATGTTGCAAATAGCTTCTCCCACTTTTTGGCTCAACTTTTAAAGATAAACAGAGTCAAATTTATCCATCTTTTTTATGGTTTAATGTATCTTGTTTAAGAAATCCTTTCTGATTCCAATGTCATAAAGATAACACCCTAAATTTTCTCTTAAATTTTTAAAAGTCCTACATTTCACATTTAAGTCTATAATTTTCCTGGAATTTAGTTTTGCCTAAGGATTGTAGTGAAGTTCTGATTTCATTTCTTTCCCTCTGATCTTCTGACATATTTCAAGTTCTCATATCTATGCAGGTGTGTTTGGGGGCTGTTTTATTTTCCATTTTTCTATTGAATTGCATCAATACCGCACTCTATTAATCACTCTGACTTTATGATAAATCAATATTTGGTATAGTAAACCTCTGCTAACTTGTTTTACTTCTCCAGAACTGTCTTCTTGGCTCTTGAAATTTCCATGTATATTTTAAAATTGGCTTGTCAAGCTCAATAAAATGTCCCATTTCAGTTTTAATTGGAACTGCATTAATCTGTAGATAAGTTGGGGAGAATTGACATTTTTATGGCACTGAATCTTACTATCCATGAACATATTATAAGCCTCATTTATTTATATTTTTTCCATAAAGTTCTTTGTATCTTTTGCTGAATGTATTTGCAGAGAAGCCATTTTACCCTCACTTACTGATGAAGAAAGGTAGCTAGTGGGCTTATTTTAAGTTCATTTAGCTAGAAGTGAACAGGACTCTAACCCAGTTCTTAATCCAGAACTTTTTTCTCCACCTCATTCTGACCTGTTTAATTGGAAACATGCACTTTGGATATAGCGTGAATCACACTGCATCATATCTTCTAAGACGTAACAGCCAGATGCAGGTATATTCAGGTATGTGGTAATTTAGTCTATTTCATGGGTTCATCTCCCCACCTCCTGCCTCCATGTAGTAAGTGTTCTGTTTTATAGGAGTAAATACCCCTGGACGTTTATGAAAAATAACCTACAGGATTGGAAACCTCATCTGCTCTACCTTTTTCCTTCCAAGCATTTGTTTGTGGGATAGTCTGTAGATCGTTTTTTAAACAGTTCTTTTTTTTTTCTCTTTCTGTCAGCCTTTGAGGGGGAGAAAATAGACACATTTGCCAGAAAGAGGAGTGATTAAGTTAATGATGGCTTGAATTTTGCAGGCCATGTTTACAAAGTGAGCTCTGTTCACACTAATCACTGCTTATGTCCCCTTGTTGGTGAGCACTAGTCCTGGCATGCTTACACCACCAGAGACCCTGTTTACCAGCCAACTCCAGGGCTGCTTGGCTCTAATGACAGGTAAAAAGTCAAATGAGTTCCACTTATGAGTAAGATACAAAGGTGATACGGGCTTTTGAGACTACCATCTGCTCCTCATTCCAGAGGGGGGTCACTGATGGTGATACGAAGATACACACAACTCAAAAATAGGCGTCACAGAGATACAAACTTGTATTAAAGAATAAAAACAGACTGTAGCCATTTCCACCTTTCGGCAGGAGTCACAGCATACTATTTATCAGTGGGATATCAGATCTCTGTGTGGCTCTGTAATATTTCAAGCACTGGAGGATGGGAGAACCCAAGAGCACAGGAATTGGAAAATCGAGTAGCAGGGAGATACGGGAGATTCTAGAGAGAGACAGGAGCCCAGCTGCAGCAGTGCAAGGCCTGCTGCGAAAAAAGGTGTGGGAGACGCATGAGGTGATGGGGTGGCTGATAGAATGTGGAAACCTCTCATCACCTCAAACATAAGAAAAATGAGGTGGATTCCACGGTTCGCTGGACCAGGAGCAGAGGGAACAGAGGGGTTGTAGGAGGTGAGACAGGGTATGCACTCCAAGAGACAGGGAAGGAGGGCACACCAGTCTCCTGCAACTGGCAGAAATCACAGGGCGGGGTTTTAAACCAATCTGATTTAAATCCAACAGCACAGGAAGATCGCCGCCTACTTAAAATTAGGTCACCCTTTAGATTTTTAAATACATCAAAATGAAACAGTTCAGGAGATGACTCTGGAATAGCTTTCTGAAGACAGAGCACGGGAGGGAGTCTGGTGGAAGAGAAGCCATGCCAATGATCCTGAGTTTGGGTTGTTTAATCAAAAAAAACTTTTTAAAATTTTGAGCTCTTTTTTCAGTCATTCACCACCTTCCCTTCTGTAACGTCCTTCTGAGAGGCAGCCTGATGTAGAGAAGAAAAATCGTGGGCTTTCTAGCCAATCATATGTGCATTTGAATCCACTGTGTCATGTGCTACCTACGAAAACAAGAAAATTGCTTAACCTTCCAGCCTGTCTTCCCTTTGTAAACAATAGGTGATACCACTACCTCGCAGTGTGGTGTAAGGATGCAGGGAGATAAAGTATGGAAAGGACCAAGTGAACTCGCTGACAGTAGGTGCTCTGTCTTGTCACTTCGTGTTGACAGACTGAACACACAAATGAACAGTGGCCAGATTGTACATGAAAATGGAATTCTGACCCACACTGTGCAGCAGCCATTCAGGGAAATCAACCCATTATCTACAGTAACCAGACCAGGAAGGCAACCTACTATGTACAGGTCAGACTTGCAGGAAGTCAGATCACTGTCTCTATCGCACAGTCCAGTAAACCAAATAAGAATACCCACATAGCCAAGACTTGATTAATAACTGACAGCTTCTTTAATTTTTGCCCCTATTTCCAACGTAAAACCAACCCAAGAAAGCCAAATATGCACCCCCAACCCATCACATAGGATGGATTCTCGTTAGCACACTTAAATCTTCCCCCAATAGCCACCAGTCAGGGCACACCTGAGGCCTTCCCTTTCTTCCTCTAGAAAGCTTTCCCATTCCTCTGCTTGCTCTTGTGTTTCCAGCAAAAGATGGTAGCTGACTCCTTTGCTGTAGCAAGCTTTGAATAAACAGCCTTTGTTCTCATTTGGTTGGTCTTTGTTTATTTCCACTGTGTCTCTTTTCCTTTTCCCCGACTCTTCCCCTGTTATGGACTTAATGTTTGTGTCCTCCCCAAATTCATATGTTGAAGCCCTAACTCTCAATGTGATCATATTTGGAGATGGGGCTTTTGGGAAATAGAGGTAGATGGGGTTATGAGAGCAGGAACCTTATGATGAGATTGGTGTACTTATAAGAAGAGACATTAGAGAGATTTGCAAAATGACTTTGCAAGGTGACACATCTCTTAGTGGCATATCTGGAACAGAAATGAGCTCTTCTTACACCAGGGATCAGTGTTATACCTTGCAGTCCTCGTGAGTACATGTGAGTGAGTATGTATATGTGTGTGCATATGGTTGTGTGTGTGTGAGAGAGACTGGGTGTGTGAATATGTGCATTCGATTTGTACGAGGAATGGAAGGAGGCATGGAAGCTCCTTCAGAGCAGAATCAGTCCCCTCCTTCAGAACTAGCTGCGTTATAATAACCAGAACCCTTAGGAGCCCTTTCTTTTTTCTTTCGGGGCTGTTGGTTTGCTGTGTTCTCTCCAGGTCGAGCTCATTCAGCTTCAGCAGTGTCTGCCTAGGAAGCAGGCAGGGTCTCCAAGTCTCAGTAGCTACTGTGTAGGCAGTGCTCTGCACTAAGGTTTGCAAAGATGAGACTTGGGGAATGGTTTAGTGGGTAGTCTCGGGCTCATTCTGGTGTGAGGTGATGTGGTAGGACGGTGGGGAAGGCACGGACCAGGCCTTGACTGGCTTGGGGTCCAGCACTGTTCTCCGGATGGGTGGAAGTTTTCTTGTAAATTGAAGCCAAATAGAAATGTCTGTCCTTGTGTTTTGCTGAATGTATGGCATCCTCCCTGCACGGTCCTCTATTTTCATCCGAGTCCTCAGGGTGCTTCTCTGCCAGACCTGAGAGAGTGGGGCGACCCTCAGATCCTGGCTCAAAGGCTGCTTGGAGGGACTCTTCTGGAACAGCTTGGCCAGCCCCAAAGTCCCCCTCCGTCAATTTTCAGGGAAGCCACGTGGAGAAGGGCAGAGTCTGCCCTGGACAACTTTGGTGGGTCTGACCTGCCAGCTGGGCCTTGGTATAACACAGCAGGCTTGCTGTGTCCAGAAAGCTCAAACTCCTGTTTGCTAGAGGAAAACGTCTGCAGAAGCAAAATCAGCTAAGAGTTGGGTAATGCAGATTAGAGACTTACCTGAGCAGTTGGAAATCACCATCTCATGGGCTTTGCTTTTGATCCAAATAGTTCTGATCACAATGGCATAGATGACACTGTGGAAAGGACCAAAGATAATATTTAAATGGCTGGTGGGTCCCTATTGTGGGACCACCCCCAGTTCCCTGAGTGTGAGGTGTGGGGACAGGGGTCTCTCAACCATGGTCTGTCCCTCTCTATATTTCCTGATTACAGAGTCGCAGTAGATTGCAGCTACTTTTTTAAGCAAGGAGGCTTGGACCTGGTGAAGTTACACAATTTCTCAGTCAAAGACTATTGAGTTAATAATACAAACCTCAAGATTTTCTTAGTAATCTAATGTAACAACATTTTAAGTGCTGTGCACAGTGCCTGAAAATTAGCAGAGGCTCAATAAATGTCATTTATTTTCCCTTCTTTCTTCCTCATTTTTCACATAATATCACATTTACTTTTACATGATATAATCTGCCCCCAACAGGAAGAAAAAAAGTGTTAATGACTCAGAGCATTAGCAAATTTTGTATCCTTTGTCCCCTTTGATAAATATAGACATTTATACCCTTCTTTAATTAGTTATTTGACATTTCTAATATCTTAAGAACCTCAACTAAAAACTTTGAGACAAAGCACTGCTTTATTTTAAAACTGCACTAACTTCCCTCTTGAGAATCACTAGGTTAAAAAAAAAATCAGAGCTCTAGTTTGAAGTAGCTGACAAAGCACTAATTGCTTTTAATGAGTTTAGAATATAACTTAATTAATGACTGTGTGAAAACTCTCTGCTTCTTATTGCCTTTCCCTGATCAGAGAGCCCCTCTGAGTGTTCCAGGAAGGCTTGGCGCCTTTGTGGAGCATCCTCACTCCTTCTCATATACCTGCCCAGGGATTTTCTGGAATTTATATGTCTACATAAGAAAAAAAGAGAAAAAAAATTGTTAGGGAGTCTATTCTTTAGCCAAAGTTGAATATTTGTTAAAGCAGGGAAATTTTTTCCCCGGGTAAATGAAATACAAGAAAACGTTACAACAGCACCCAGCGTTAATCATGTATTACAGTGGCAACCTCAGTGCTTAACTGATCAGTAATTCAAATATTTATTGACCATCAACCATATACACAATGGAAAACTAAGAAAGATTTTATGTGTTAGGGGTTTGGGTCTTAGTCACCCTGACCTCATATCCTTAGGACCAATCAGGCAAGTGGAAAGCCAATACCAGCTTTACTCTAAGCCAGGAAAACTAGTAAGTAGGGTGCCCTTTTAGTTTATTACCCAAATCAAGCCACTTCTCAGGGTGCAACAGTCATGCATCAGAGAGCACTCGGAATCATATTAGTTCCCTTCTTGCTGACTTCTTTCATCTAATTAATCAGCAAGCTCTGTGGATTGTCTCTTCAAAATACCTCCCTCATCTGTACCTTCCTCTCCATTCCTGCTCTTTTGCATCCGTTTGGACCATTTTAATATCTTTTTGTTGAATATTTTGATGATTTTTTTATTGTGGAAAAATAAACATAACATAAAATTTAGCATTTTAACCATTTTTAAGTGTACGGTTCGGTGGCATCAAGTACATTGACATTGTTGTGCAACACCACCATCATCCATCTGCAGAGCTTTTTTATCTTCCGCAACTGAAACTCTGTACCCATTAAACACAAAAGTATGCATGACTTCACAAGTTAATGTGTCATCCTTATGCAGGGGCCATGCTGATCATCTTTGAATTATTCTAATTTTAGTGTATGTGCTGCCAAAGCAAGCCCCACCCCCTCCATCATCTCTTGCCTGATTAGTACCGTAATCTCCTAAACACTTTCACTCTGCTCCTTCACCGACGCCCCCACTACGATCAGAATTGGAGCTCTGGGACAGAGGGTCATTCCCTGGCTTAAAAACCTTTCAGTGCCTCCACTTTTCTACAAGACGATATCCAGTCTCCCAAGCAGAGCTTTCAAAGCCTCCCACAATCAGCCTCTGCCTTCCTCACAGCCATCGTCAACATCCTCCTTCCCTGCATCCCATGTCTCTCAACCCACCTTTCCCCACATCATGACAGGAGTAGCCAACTCAACTAACCCAGACTCCATGCTTCATATGCGGTTGACTTTGGGCAGATGAGTCCCAGTGCCTTCCATTTCTCTGTGTGTCTGCTTTGCTTTCTTCCTGAAAATGCTTTTTTTTTTTAGCTCATTCACTATATATTACTTTACTATGAAAGCTTTCTGAGCTGTCTCTGTTTCTCAGTGACAGTCAGCACCACCTACCTCAGGGCCTCCATGCTGGTATAACACTCGGTACACGGAGCCTTGTCTATGGCAGTCATAGCTTTAAAGATCAAGTAGACTAGAAATAGCCCATTCTCAGAAATGTGGCAGAGGAACAGCATCTCCATCCTTTTGGGTCAACTTCTTTCATGTTGTCTATCCATTTCCACTCTGTCAACAGGCATAGCTTTTCTTTAAGTTTCTTAGAAATCGGAAACCTGAAGGGTCACCTAGATTGAGAGAAGTATCCCTTCCCTGCAACTGGTTGTTTTATTTCTTGATTTTATGGAAGACTGTCCAAACATAGACCCTTTTTCCTTCATGGCCTTCATGGAGGCATCACATAGCAGAGGGAGAGTGTGAGAGCCCAAGCCAGAGGAAGACCTTGCAAGTGGCATTTAGTACTTAAGAGGATGCCTGAGGCCGTTTCCTGGGTCTTGGTTCCGGACTGTGTGTGAGGAAGGCTCAGGAAATAGAATAAAAAGTTTTTTCTGTTCTCAAGTCATATGGAGAGCATTCTGCTCAGACCATAAGTGCCCCTTTCATAACCCCTGCAGGACTTAGCACAGGCCTGGGGACTTGTTGGATGCCCAGCACAGTCTTGGGGCCGCAGGCCCTATCTCAGCCAACTGCCTCCACCGTTGCCTCATTTGGGGGCCTGAGGTTGTTGTCCAGTTGTGCTCTGTAGATCTCATTAGAGGCCAAGCATAGGGAGGAGGAGTGGGGGAGCTGCTGCTTCTCTTGGCATGGTCCTTTTTCTCTTCTCCTAGCAGGGACCTTAAGGATGCTCCCTGGTCAAAAGTATCTCTCTCCTTCATTATTAATTTCACTATGTTTATTTGAGCACTTACTTTGTCTCAGGCACCTATTGAGCCATTGCGGATACTATGGCAGGTAAAACAGAGTCCCAGCCCTCCTGGAGCTCACATCTTATTTGGGGAAATAGACAATAAAATAAGGATACAGGAATATATGATTACAAAGGAGCAAAATGCTATGAAGATGAAATGTAGGGTGATACAACAGTATATAACAGAAGCCCTGGCTTGCTCTGGGGGTCAGGGAAACCTTCTTGGAGGAGGTGAAATTTTAGCTGAGATCTGAAAGATAAAATAGTTTTTAAAATGCAGAAGAGGATGATCATTCAGGCAGAGGGAACAGCATGTGCAAAGGCTCTGAGGCAAGGGGGAGCATTCACATTTGAAGAACTTAGAGAAGGCCAGTGTGGCTGAAACTCAATGAGTAAGGCAGCTTGTGTAGTCTAAGATAAGGATGGAGAATGAGGCAAGGACCAAATCACACATGGCCTTGTGTGCAGGGTTGGAGGTCATGAACTTTATCCAGAAGCAATGGAAATCCACTGAATGGCTCTAAACAGGAAAGTGAAATGATTGATCAACATTTTTCCCCCAAATTGGGCATTGGTCGATATGCATAACTTGTTTCTGTACATATGTATAGGCTGGTACATGAATTGAATAGTCCTAGAAGGTATAGAAGAAATTCTTAACAGTGCTACTTCTCAGGAGAGAGACAAGGCAGAAGGAGGAGGAAGATTTTTATCTTTCATATCATACTTTTTTGTTGGCTTACCAGTTTTCCCCACAAAATGATGAATCTGGCTGTGGTGTGGCGTAGGGATTTAATGGGGGCAAAGAGTAGACAAGAAGCTATTGCACCAGAGTGAGTAGAAGATGGTGCCCATTATGGGAGTATATACTGATGAAATTGTCTTTAAATTTTATCCCATCTCTTTGTAAAATGGCTACAGTAGAGTGGACTGATGATACAGAAGAGAGAATGTGCTCCAGAAGCAACTCAAGCTATTTGGGGCAGGGATCCTAAATTGAGAACAGGAGTCAGGTGCCCCATTCTCACTCCAGTAATCATGTAGACAGTGGTCAGGAGAGAGGGAGTCAGCATTAAGCCAGTCCCTGTACAAAGTGCTTTTTACATCCTCATCTCATTAACTCCATTGGTTACGATGGTGCTGGGCACTGTAGGATAAATGCCTAATATATTTTGATCACGGTTTCTGTTTCACATAAGTTCTCCTTGTATGATTTCATATATGAACTATGGGAACAAAAATTTATTGTCCTCATTTTATGGATGACAAGGCTGAGGTCCCATGACTAGGAGGTGTCAGAGACCAAATTCAAATCAAGTTCTGTTGGCCACCAAAGCTCTGATGAGATGTTGTGAGGACAATGGTAGTGATTTGCTCACCATAACAGTCAACCAAGAATTATGCCAAACCTTTCATGGAGATTATCTCATTTAATCTCTCTGACAGATTTATATGGTCAGTGCTACTATTATTCCCATTTTCTAGATGAGAAAGCTTCAGTTTTTAGAAGTTTGGTGACTTACCTGCGTTCATACAGCTAGTAGATGGCAAAGCTGGACCATAGCCTGGGTCCTCTGACTTCTAAGGCTTGTTAACCAGCACGTGAGGCTGTATCAGAGCAAGGAGGATGCACAGAACTCCTCTGGGGGATGTTTCGGGACTACACACGCTATCTGTGATTCTGGCCACTTCCTGAATACCTTATTTGATCCCTAGACCAGGTTAGCACCCCCTGCTGTGGATGTCAAAGGACTCTCTATTTACCTTATCATGACACTCATCACACTGTGTTATAACACCTCCTGTAATTGGCTGCCTTCTTGGTTACACAGAAAGATTACTTAACTCAAAAATGATGTATGTCTTGCTCTTTTTGTATCCCCCGTGCCTACCCCAGTGTCTGGTAGAGGGTGGGTGACCTGTAGGTATTTCTAGAAATAATAAATAAATGGAAAGAAGCATTAAGGGTTAGAGGCTCAGAAGCATATGTTGTGTAGTTGGGCTCAGGGAGATATGAAGGCAGAACCAACTTTGGGGAGAAAATGTAGGAACTTCTTGTTACTTAACAATCTAAGAAAAATTTAAAGTCCTGATATATACAGTCCATTGCCATCAGGTTTGATGGGCTCCCAGGACAGAGAAAGTCAAAGGGATACTCTTCATACCTCCTTATTACCACTGAATTAACTGAGATTTCCTAAATGTCCCAGAAGCAGCATTCACTCTGATGACTTCAGTAGTTCAGATGAATCCACTGATACCTGGAACCAGCAAGTATGGGCACTTGGGTACCAGTAGGATACTTTTTGTAGCAAGTTACAGAAAACTCCCAACTCAAATTGGTCTAAGCAACTAGAACATTTTTTATCTCTCATGATTGCAACCTCAAAGAATCAAAGCTGAACTTCAGAAACCTGGATTCTTTCCATCACTTTCTCTTTTCTTTCCAGTGTAAGTGTCTTCCTAAGTCAGTCCAGAGACAGCAATGTCCAGAAGAAGGCAAGGAGCCATTGTCTCCTGGATTTGTTTCCTAAGAATGGGGACATCTTTCCACAAGCTCTTCAGAAGACACTCCCTCACATCTCATTGGCTAGAACTGGATCACGTGGCCATTCTTGGGCCATTCACGTGTGGAGTGGAGGGGCTGCCACAAGTGGCTTAGAGTGGAATGGATGTGGAAAATTCAGTCATAAGTATCTACCATAACCTAGCAGACTAGTGATAATGGCTTTTTCAAAGGACATAACTCTTGCCACCCCTCAGTTAACAATATAAAGGATGTCATTTCCTTCACTGCTGAAATGGGTCATCTGACCTTGGCCTTAACCTTATGCCTTGGGTAGTGCTGCCTTGGACCTTGGGGTCCCACTATGGCCTTGTATTCCACAGAACTGTACTGACCTCAACACGGAGCTTTCTCACAGTCTGATCTCCTTGCCCCAAGCAAAATAAATAGATTATTTTCTTCGTGTAACACAAATCAGTGCTCCATGACAAATGTGCTCTTTTCCACTTACTCCTTTGCAGTTGTTGGCTATGGATCTTTTATGCCTCTACCTTTGTCTCATAGAGTAAAAATGATCGGTGAATGAGAAATCAATTAGGTAGCAAGAAAATCACCACAGCTAAAGTAAAGCAATTACACCAGGGCTAAAAACCTTCCCCAGCAAGTCAAACAGCTACGTCAAGGGAATTTTAAAACAGGAGTTGTGTTGACCCAGAAAAACAATGTATTGCCTTTATTGTCAGTCACTATGGTTTCAAGTCCTGGGAGCCTGATCTGATTAATGACAGAACAGTGAAATCTTTATTCATACAGAGCTCTCGTGAGAGTGTGTCACTGGCAATGTCACTTCCTCTCTTTCCCTCCCTCCCTGCCTTTCTTCCTCTCTCCTTTCTGCCTTCCTTCTTTCCCTTCGCGTGTATTTGTGGAGTGCCCCCCATATGCCAAAAACTGATCTAGGCACTAAATGATCAGAAATTTCCATATTGGGGTTCTGTGTGTGTGTGTGTGTGTGTGTGATGAAGTGACATGACACTTCCATCTGGTGGACAAAGTTTTCAGTCAGATTTGCGTTGTTTATTTAATCCAGCACTTACGAAGTGTCCACTGTGTGCTGGATTTGGAGTCCAGAAGTTAAGAAACAGCAGCCCCTGTACTCAAGAGATACAACCACACAAGCAGGTGGTGACACTACCATGAAGCCTTGACGGCGACACGGACAAGCTGAGGCAGGTTGTGCTCTAGGACTGGCAGGGACAGCTCCGTGTAGGGTCTGTGTTTGAAATGGGGGGCAAAGAATGCAAATCATTTTGCCAGAAGCAAGGCAGGAGGAGTCTGGAGGAGTGTCCAGGCATAAGGGATGATGTGCAGAAAGGCATGAGGTGAGAGGAGTGTGGGGCGTCTGGGAAACGAAAGATGGTTTCTAAGGCTGGAGTAGTGGATGCAGGAGAGTCTGTGAGCAGCTTCCCCAGGAATAGCCACAGAGTCTGGAAAAGGCGAGCCATCTTGTCCTACCTACCAGATAATAAATGTATACAAAGTACAGTACTTAATTATACCAATCTGCTATTAGTGGCAGGAAAACCACTAATTTAGTTGTTTGTGTATTCTTGCCTTTTCTTAATTATGTCAGTCACTATTACCTGGAAACAAAATGAAAGCAAATTCAAAGTGAAGAAACATAACAAACTAGGGAAATATTTGCAACATATTTAAAAAAGGTTATTGTATAAAGAATTCTCTAAAGATAGAGAATAGAGAAAATAAAAGCAAAATAAAGTGAAGAGAATAGGAGTTCAGAAACAATAAGAGCATTTGTAATATAAATATACATATGATAGAATTCCCATTTTAGCCCATAGAGAAAAGATAAATTATTCAGTAAGTGATATTGGGACAAATGATCCAGCATTAAAAAAAAAATAACTTAGGTCTCGAATTCATATTAACATCAAAATCAAGTAAAAGTATTTTTAAAGTGATATTTTTAACGTGTTCCTAACACAAATTATTTTCAAATAATTAAAATAATAAATCATAAGAAAGAAAAAGTATAGGTAAGTATGTAAAAGGGACAATTCCCTAAGAAAGAAATGAAATGAAAAAATATAAAATGTGAGTAGATGTGAATACACTAAAATGTAAAATTTCTATATATTACAGAAAAGCCATATACATTTCATTCATATTTTCACATGCGTTTATATAAAGTTTTGCAAAGTGCTTTCCTATGACTCTTTTTTTAAATCAGGTCATTGGCTTTCTTGTTTCTAATTTTGGTTATTCACAATTTTGCCCCTTTCCTTGATGATGTCAGTCTTATTAGCTGAAAGCAAAATAAAGCCATATTCAAAATGAAGAGGCAAATGACAAACTAGGGAAATACCCTCAACATACAAAAACAGGAAAATTTTTTACATAAATAATATCCCTAAAGAGAGAGAACAGAGAAAATAAAATGGAGAAAAATGGGTAAAAGAATAAATAATTTACTTAAAAAGCAAAACTGAAAACAAACATAAAATGTGCTCAGTCTCATTTGTGATGAAAGATGCAAATTGAAACAAGATATATATGTATTTTTTGCTATCAATTTGGTAAGAATATACATGTGTATCTCTGTGTATATACATATATCATGCATGAGGGACAATAAAGCAGGAGGTATGGTTAATAAAGTGAGCGAACACCTTATTTGAGTTGTATCTTGTCTACTCAATCTTGAAATTAAGAGTTTAACCTTTTCTAAAAGAGCCATGAGCAATAGAAGCTCAGGGGACCAAAATGTAGTCAAGAAAAAAAGAGTTAAGCTTTAGCTCTGAGACAGATGAAATTATAGCAACTTATCCCAGGAACTGCTTGGAAAACAAATTCCCCACAAAATTCCATCTGGGCCTGGTCTTGGTTCAGGAAGTGGAGAGGAGCTGAGAGAGGGGGGTGATGCCTCATCCCCGCATCTCCCGCATCCCCCGAGAGGAGAGGAGCTCTCTCTCCAGCGGAAGCCTGACCACGGAAGAGTAAAGATGATGACTTCATCAGCCATGAAATGCTTCAGGGAAGCCCAAGGAGAGAAGAAGTCACTGAATTTCATGGTTCTGCCCCAGCTGGAGGCAAAGACCCAGGAGCAGGACTTAGGGAGACTTTGGTGAAGGCTGAGTGAAACCCGTTTTCAAAATCATTCCCTTTAATCATTAAATTAGACTTTGCTTTTTCCAAGGATACTACAAAAAAGCACAAGATGGGCCATAGGCAGGTTTGAGGAGAGGTCCCTGTGGGAAGAGGCAGCTCAAACTAATGGGGGAAATTTTGGGCAGTAAAAGGCCAGTGTGAGGGATCTGTCCAGACAGCGCATTGTGAGCCATGTGGTTCATGGCTGCACCTGCCTTGCTGAGCAGAGGTTTTGACTGATTTCAGGAGCTGATGGGAAATCAATCAGGAGGGATGCAGGGACATTTGCTGCCACCGATATCGATGTGTCAGTTTCCTGTGATGGCATGAGCCACTTCCTTCCAAGTGCTTTCTTAACTCTGCGACTGGCCTCTCTCCTCTTCCATGTGCTCCTTTGAAAGTGGCTGTTACTTACCTTTGATTCATTGTCTAAATAACCTTCATCTTCCCTTCAAGTTTCCTCCCAGGTTCAGCTTGGTAGAGAGGAGAACAGTAAGTTGAAATAAAATGTAGACGTTAATTTGTGGATTCAGCAGAGATAACTGGATGGTATCCAATCTCAGCAAGGCTGCAGGGCTGACTGCGGGAATCATTCTGCTCCTGTCCAGCTTGACCTCTGATGGAGAGCAGGTCATTTCGTTTCTTTTAGTCCTAAGTCTACTGGTGAAAAGTTCAGGGGCTGGACTACGTGATGGATAACATTTCTTTAGCTTTAGTATCTTAGGACACTAAAGATGAGCAAAGAGCAAGAACAAGTGATTCCTATAATGTCAGAAAACACTTGAATAATACCGAACCACTTAATCCAAGAAATGCACATTGAAACAATGAGATACTTCTTTAAGCCTCTATGCTCGGTAAAGATTTAATGAAGAAATGATGCCACCTTCTTTTGGGTTAGGGGAAGAAAAATCAGAGCTCTTCTTTGCTGTTGGCAGGAATACACATTTTTTATAGGGCAGTTTATGAATATGCATCAAAAGGCTTTAAATGAGCATGATCTCTGATCTCGTAATTCCACTAGAATGAGTTCTAAGGAAATAATCAGAGACTCATGAATAATTTTAAATACAAAGATTTTTTTTATCACAGCATTATTTATACAATTGAAAACCAAAGGCTGATCTTCCTTTGCTTGGGACAAATTATGTGACACTATATGACACTCAAAAGGTGCAGGGTCAGCAAGCCCATGTACGTACTCAACGTGCCAGGTATCTCCCTGAAATTCCCACTCCCATCCACCTGTGCAGAGCCACCCTTTCGGAGGTGATCCTGCCATGTGAACAAGTGAGACCCTGCCTTGTCCAACTGGTTGTGGTTTTCTCTGCTGAAAGACAACCTTTGGCCCATCACTGGTTGCAGGACAAAGGGAACAGGCTTGGTTACTAAGGCCCTTCACAATTGTGCCTTACCCCGCCCAGAAAGAGCTTATTTCCAACTCTCTTCCACTGGCACTGCCTGTGGGTCCTTTCCTGTGTACACGTGTACTCTGACCTCCAGTCACCAGGGAACCTGCCTTCTCTCCACCTTCCCCTTCTCCTATCTGGAGCCTTCCCTCCTTCAAAGGATGCATCCAAGAAGTGTCCTCTGCCATTATTTGACCTCACTGCATACATGCTCTAGCACATTTTTGTGTACTATGTTTTTTGTTCAGCTTTATTTCAAGTTTGTCTTTTCGATTATAGTATAAGATCTCTGAAACTGGTACTAGGTCTTACATTTGAAAGGCTGCATGATATTAGAGAAAGAACAGGATATGAAATCAGACAAACCTGGGGTTAAATCCTGTGTGACGTTGGGTAAGTTGCTTAACCTCTCTGAGCTTGTGAATTATCATTTATAAAATGGAGATAATCTTAGTTATTTCATAGAGTGGTAGTGTGGTTAATGGGATAATTGTAGACCACTTGGCACAATGCCTGCTCTACTGTACACACTCAGAAAAGGTTCATTTCCTCCTCCTTATTCCATTTTGGAGGAGTTGCACTTAGCACATAGTAGCTTTAGATAAAATCTCGTGGTCTAGCCAGTTCCCCAAAGGACACCAGGAACAATGAGTGACCTGTTCGGGAGGAGAGCAGCAGTGGGCAGACCAGGAAAGCCCCTGTGTGGGTCTGGCCTGCTGGCCTCTTACCTGATGATTGTCAGAGGGATGAAGTACACCAGGAAGGCCACGATGGTCATGTATGGGGTCCAGTAGGAGTCGTCAGGCCACAGGGCCCAGCACTGTACTTCACCATTGGAGAGTTTCCTTTTCCCAAATATGATCAGGGTGGGAATGGAGAAGAGGAAAGAGAGGCTCCAGGCAATCACGATGAGGACCTTGGCTTGCTTCTCTGCTCACAGAAAAGAAAGGGATGCCTGGGCATCTAGGAACATCTTTTGGGAGCACACTTGGCATCTAGTGTAGAAAAGGATCATTGTATGAGAGGTATTCTAGACCCTCTCGGAGCCTCAGTTTTCTCATGTGTAGAATGGGTATAGTAAGACCTGCATCTAGGGCTGATGTAAGGATTAAAAAGAGAATGCCTACACAGAAGTCAGCACACTACCTGGCATAAGGTCAGTGCCCCCAGATTTCTCCTCTTCTTCCCTGATTTACCTGCTCATCTTGAGATGTTGATGCATCCATTCCTAAAGGACTATGGAGAGCTCAGTTTGTATCGCGCATATTTGGTAAACTGCTGGGCAAATGCTTGTCTCTGGCACCTTGTCCCTCCTCAAAGGCAGGGATGGGAACTTTGGTCTGTCTTTCTTCCTTCTATCATACCTAGCTCTGCGAAGAACTGTGTCAGTGTTTGAAAGCTGTTTGCCAAATGTTAAGTAGCCTTCCTTTATTTGAAGGAACAGGGCAGAAATTGTAGGGCAGGGAAAAAACACTGGACTTGGTTCTGGAGAGCAGGGCTCATTCCAGCCAAACCCCGAAGCCTGGTAGCTGTGACCCTTCACACTAGATGTGGGCTCTCAGATGTGATATTCTGAGCTTGGCCTGAGTTTTCTCTATAAATTAAAAAAAAAATACACACTCTGCCCACCTAACGAGGTCATGATGTGGCTAGAGAGAGAAAATTGATACACATGAAAATGCTTTTTAAAAACAGTTGTATGAGGTGATGCTTTCTATTAAGCCCTTATTAAAGCCTTTCATCTCCATCTGCCCTGTAGCTATGCTGCCTGTGCTGACTGGTGCCGGCGGGCCTCCTCCATCCAGAGACAGGCGATCTCCCTCCGCCTCTAAGCCTTCAAATTGGAAACCGGTGCATGGCTTCGGGTGGGGCCAGAAAGGTACAGAGGGCCTGGTCTAGGAGCTGTAAGAAGTGAGAAAAATTCTAGAAGAAACTAGGTAGGGACTCTATTAGAATCTTGAGTCTGAAACATTGGGGAGAATGATCTAAGTTTCTGATTTTGCTGAATTGTCACTCTGAAATTGGTATTAGATTTAGAAAACAGTTGTTACTGACACACTGAACAAGCAGCAGTCTTGGGGTAGAATTACAGTAGCAGTATTTTAGGCCTTTCCATTGTCCCTGTGCATGTAGGCAGTGATCCTGGGAGGGTGGTAGCTCACCTGCTCCTGGCTGAAAACTCAGGCAGGCCCCTTGATGTCAGTGATCATTCATAGGTGGCTAAAAAGCCCTGTAGTCTCTGTAAGTGTTAACCAGCGCTTCAGTGTAGTAGTGGACTTAAAAATTAATATGTAAAATTCCAGATAACAATATTCAAAACTCCTAAGATGATTTCAAGTCATGTCTTCTTTGCTCAGGTGGGCCTGCATCAGGTAAGAACCTGGAGTCTGGGGTTTGGGGCTTCTCTCAGCTGGGCTTCAGGGAGCGAGGAGGGGCGAGGGGACAGGAGAGTTGTTATTTGGCTGGTACTGACTGTCACAAGTTGCCTCATGCTTCATGGGCCTGGCTGCTGTTTAAAGCTGATGCTTCATCTCCTGAGGAACTTTCCTGGGTTCTTTGGAAACTCCTCTCCGATTTCCATTTGCCTGACTTGATTGGCCTCTTTCCATTGGCTGGCTGCTCCTGTTCCTCCCTGGTACCCTCCAGCCTCTTTCCTTGCGACCTCACCTCCGCTGGCAGAAGTGCAGGAAGCCCAGGTAGCTAGGCTGAGGCCCGGGACAGCCAGAGCCTTCCACATCTGTCCTAGAGTGGGACCACAAAATAAACTCTCCGGGGGCCAGTGTGTGGAGTGCAATTTAAAAAGCACTGATAAAATAACATTTTTCTCCCCATGGTTACACTAAACTCCAATTTTATCAATAGCCTATTATTAAGTATTTAAATTGTTTCCAATTATGTTTTATTATAAATAACTCATATACATCTCTTTGCAATGCTCTGGTTATTTCCTTAGGGTGAACTCTTAGAGACTGAAGATTTGGGAAGATGTTGCTAAACTTCCCCCCAAATTGTCTGCAATTTATGGCTCCCTCTGGAAGTGGACAGAAGTGCTTGTTTCCTTACACTCTTCCCACACTGAGAGGATTCTTCCTCCCAATCTTGTTATCTGGTTGGTAAGATTTCCCAACCAAATGTTCAATCCTGCAGTTCTTCACTTAGTAGTCAAAAAGGGCACTTCTACGTATTGTTCATTTATTTGTATTTCTTTGTTTCTTAAAAATTTGTTCATGTCCTCCACTCACTTTTTCAATTAGTATGATCTTCTTTCTATGCCAGAGTTCTTTATAAGAAGGATATTAGCCCTTTGCCTGCCATATACAAGTATTTCCTGTCATTTTGCTTTTAAAGTGTGTTTACAATGTTTTCTATTTGTATAAATAACTAAATTTTTTTACATGGTAAAAACTATATTTCCCTTACTGTTTTTTGCTTTGGGTGTTTTCCTAGAAAGATATTTTCCTCACCAAAATGATGAGAGTTTTACCCAAACCCATATCCTCTCATGTTTAAAATTTTAACTTTTCCAATCCAATTAGAATTTACTTTTTTCCCCAGTTTTTAAAAATTGAAGTATAGTTGATTTAAAATATTGTGTTAGTTTCTGGTGTACAGCATAGTGATTCAGTTGTACATATTCAGTCTAACTGGAATTTACTTAGTAATTAGCTGTGACAGGTAGTGATTTAATTTTTTTTAATGGCTAGACAGCTAGTCTAACACTGTACACTGACAGATTCATTCTTTTCTAACTGATTTGGTATTCTATATGATTTAGATAGGTGATTCTGCTTCCAGTATCCTATTGTTTCAATTATCAAAGTTTCATATTCTGTTTTAATATCTGGCACTCTGTATTATTACTTGACATTTTCCTAATTATTCTCATATTTAATTTTCCTACATAGCTTTAAAATTTTCCACTCCTCTGGAGTTGCTGGCTAAGGAAATTACTGCTTTTGTAAAAAGCAGTAAAACATCAGTAACATGTGGCCCTTTCTCTCTGCTTGCCTGCCTTTGGCTTCACTGCCGTGTGCGTGCTCAGCCACAGGACAGTCCCTCCCGGCTTCCACTGGCTCCACTCAACACTCTGCTCTGTGGGGAATCTCTTTCTCCCGCCTGCTCTTTGCTCAGCCACAGAAACCCCCAACCCTGCTCCTCACAGCTGCCACATCTTGGTGCTTCCCACCAGCTGGAGCACCAAGATGACACTAGCAGAGGGTTCCCTGGACCCTTCACGACCTGTTCCACCCACTACCTCACCGCATAATCATGAGGATCTTTTCAACTTCCTAAAAGGCCATGCAGCTTTCCCAGGGGGTGTGGCATCTGTATCAAATACGGCTCCCCAGTGCTGGGAATCCCTTGAAGTTTCTGATTTTCAGGTGGCTTCCTTCCTTGGCTCCAGTCCAGCTGCAGGTCTCCTCCTATTTGTGTTTCTTCCATGACTTCATTTGGGACTGGGCAGGGAGGGGAAGACGGCTAATTTCTTTTTCCAAGCTTGCATCTTTCCCTGAAACTATTAAAGATGATTATTTTCCAAGTGCCCTACGTGGAGCCTCTATTAATTTTATAGTGAGGAAATAAATTGCCTTACATCTTTAAAAGAACACTATAATGTTCATTGCTGCCTTTCCTGTAATTTAGAACACAATTCCTAATATTGCACAGTATCTCCAAGAATCAGTTATATTTCCCATAAGCTAAACAGTTGATTTATTTTTTTATCTAATGAATGTGGTGAGACCACATTTCCCTCCTGGCTGTGGATCCCAAAGCCTCTACTTCCAGCAAGTGTCCTGGGACACCCCCTCACACATTTTTTCATACTTATGTTCCCTTCACTCCTATTTTTTTTTACCTTAAAATACTCTGGTGTTAGTGTCTTTTTGTACACTGCACACAATACTTCCTGGAGCCTGCCAGACATAACAAAATAGATGGATGAATAAGGGTATCACACTTTTGCATACATACATCATAAAATGTCTCCCCCAGTTCCCCTCATCCCATCCCCTGCCTTCTTCTCTGCTGTAATCACTAGAGCATGACCGTGCCTGGAGAGCTTGGTGCTTGTCTTACGCTTTTAGCCCCCCCCCCCACACACATAACCTAGCAAAAGCCTAAGAAGCAGGTGTAAATTCTATCTTAACATTACTTTTAATTGCACACAACACATCTATATGTTCTTGGTATAAAAAATTCTTTATGGCATGTAAGTCCCTGTGGGTCTGCAGAGAGTCCAGTCCCCCCCACCACCAGAAGTGTGGACAAGTTGGTGTGCAGTCCTTGAAGGCAATTGTTTATAATTCTGAGACCTCCCTTTTTCTTGCATTCTCTCCTGATTGTCTCTCTCTCTGTGTACACAAGATCTAGCACTGTTCGTGTTTTTTCTTTATGTTAATGTTGTCATACTGCATGTACAATTGTATGTTGTTTTTACCACTCAAAATATGTTGTAGATATTTTTATGTCGATGCATGTCATTGTCCATGGCTCTACCACATCCTTACTGAGCAGCAGGGTGTACAGTAATCGAGGGCACCTGAGCTAGACCTGGACTGTCTGGGTTTAAATCCTGCCCCTGAGCCTAACTGTGTGACCTTGGACAAGCTATTTTAACTCTTTGAATTATAATTGCCCAGACTGTAAGATGCAGGTAATAATAGAACCTACCTCCCAGAGATGTGAGGACTGAAGTATTCAATGTACATAAAGTACTTGGAGTCATGAGTAGTGCATAGTATACTGTCCATAAATCTAAGCCACTGAAACTTCTACACAGGACGCTAGCCACTCCTCCACTGAGGGACACCAGCGTTAGCATTGAATTGCTGCTATTCTAAGCAGTGCTACCACACACAACACACAACACATGCGTGTGCCTGCACACATGTGAGTGTCTGTCCAGAGAAGATACCAAGAAGTAGAACTTATCAAAGAGCTGCAGATTTTAGATTTTAATTAAATACTGTTGTCATTCAGAGTATCTGGGCCCATACTCTCTGATGTATTTAATATTATCTGATGACATTAATTCTGCTTATTCTAAAGTTCTGCTTGCTCTATTAAGTTTGCTTCCTTAGGTGTAAATTCTGCAGAATGGTATTTTAAACGTATTATCTATTTTCCACAGTTTGGCTTTTGTGGAAACTTTTTTTTAATGATATTTGATTGCATCTCATTTTTGTAGTCAAGATTTCATATTAGGTCTTTGTTTTATCAGTTTTCAGAGGCTGCTTGAGAAAGTATAGTACGTTGGCTCCTTACTTGCTTTAGGGGATCATGGAGGCAAGTGGGCTCTGCGGGCAGAGCAATGTGCAATTAGTCCTGTGACCAGGTACCCACCACCCTTCCAAGGTGTCACTGCTCTGTCCCTGTAAATCCAGCATCTCCACTACTTGGAAGCAGAGACCTCCATCCCTGCTGCCCATCTGGGAAGGGGGAGGGCAGTGGGAAGGGAGATGTGCTGTGATGAACCCTCCTCACTGTGCTCCAGGAATCATCCTGGCAGTTCCCTTGAGTCCCTCTTGCTCCAGGCATTTACACGATCTGTTTAGGAAGACTTCTCCTGCATTGCTGCAGCATCACCTGTGGGTGCTGTGGGCGCTGTGGGCTGTGTGGTTTCAGCTTTCCCTCTGACCCATCTGCTTCCTTCTTTCAGAATTTCTTCACTGTCTCTAGATCAAGGAGGGTTTTCCTTGTTTCCACTGTGATTATCAATTCAAAACATCTTTCCAGTTATTTCTATGGTTTGGGAGTAAGGAGGGCAAAGTGCTTCTTTCTGAAAAATGAACAAGTTAAAGTGGGTGTGTTCACTTCTTTGCATGGGGATGTGTGTCAACACTCCCTTAAAAAAAGAAAAACTGGAGGCATCAGCGTCAAGGTAAATGGTCACAAAGTGGATCCAGCAAAGCACCTTTCCTAGTGGCTCTTGGACGTCCATGGGAGCCATCGGCATTTTTCCAGGTACCCGAGCTTTCTTTCCTACATCTTTTTGGACAATCAGACTCATAAATTGGGGGAGGAAGTGGAGGAGGAGGAAAAAGAAGGAAGAAAAGAACCATAATGAAGAAGATGATGTAAGTGAAAACCCTCACCCAAGGATGATTTCCTTACAGAATGGCACTTGGTTGAGCAGCTCACCTCCTTGCAGGAACTTCATGGGGTAGACGATGGCATGGTACCTGTCTATGCTGAGGGACACCAGGACATAGGTAGAGGCGTAGAGCAGCACAACCTGAAGACAGAAATGAGAGGAGGTGAGTGGCTTAATAGAAGTGAGGAAATGCACACGATGGAAAGAAGAGCATTTTGTTTGTTTAGAAACCTGGGCACTGAACCAAGGGACGGATGAGGTTTGTGGTTCCAACAGGAGTGACTGACTCCCCACGTCGGGAAGAAGACTGCTGCTCTCGGTGCTGGCATTTGCACCGCTAGCTGTAAGAGAGTGCTTCCAGCTCTCACTTGCTCCCTCATTCACTTGGCTTCTTTCTCCAAGGATCAGTCCCCCTTGACATATGCACAGTATATTTGTTTGTAATTGACTTTTAAAGCTATACTAATTTTCTCTGCCACAGTAGACATTCCAGAATAATAGAAGCAAACATCCATTTGCTTTTTATCAGTGTGAGCTGTTGAGAGACAATGACAGTAGCTAGAAGGGATGGATTTCAGGGAGCCCGTGCGCTGTTTTGAATCATTTATCACCGTCTGCAGTGACACTCTCCGAGCTCCCATCCTCATTCACTTCTCCCACAGAGCTGTTCACTAGGGTCAGCTCTTGGGTCTCCTCTTCCACCTTCCCACCCTCTCTTTTATTAAGCTTATTCATGCCTTTTAATTATCCTGTGTACAGTGATATTTTCATTCGTTGCAGACGAGAGAATTGGGATAAGAGGTTCATATCTCTGATGTGAAGAGCACACTCAAAATGTAATTAAATAAAATATCTCTGAAAGGATGATCAAGATGGAAAATTTCCAGATAACTTTGAGTCTCATTTCTACCAAGAGTTCAGCCATGTCACGGCTTTTTAACTTTTGGGTGAAATTCAGAGTGGGTAGAAAAGTAACTCGAAGATTGAAGTCTAAGTGTGAATGTCTGAATTTCTTCTAAGATGAAATAGAAATAACATGACTTTGGTAATAACCTTTGTCTAAACTTGTACCTTTTTATTCTTTCCCTGGCTCAAATACCAATCTACTAAATCACTGTTCTTTATTATTTTTATTTCTGTAATACTACCACAAGTGCACCTCAGCACCAGTGTTGTAGAAGGTACCACAGGGAGGGCATTCTGAAGACTGATCAGAGATTGAAGGCGCTCCTGAGGGATATAAGAAGAAATTCTTGTTCTGCTAAAAAGGTGATAAATAGTCAGAGAGAAAAAAGATGGCCAAATTTAACAACAACCACCAAAATAAGATGACTGCCTCCTTAGAGAAGACTGGGATTTCTATGTGTGATCCATGAATTCAGAATTGTTAAGGTGGGCCACACTCATTGGGGGAGATGGCATCAGAGGAGGATGGAAAAGAGAGCTCCCAAGTGCAGAACCCTATGGGTTAGGATGCTGTGATGAGAAGGTCACAAGAATCTCTGCCATCTGCGGTCGTGTTGAGTGAAATAGCTGACACAAATTCAAAATCTCGAGCGGGAGGAATGGTCACAATCGAGTGCCCAGAGAAGCAGGCAGAGTAAATAAAAAGGGATCCACTTTGAGATACAGTCAAAAAGAGTATTTAATTTCAGGGGTCTTCAAACATCTAGGCAGGCTTTTAAAAAATGTTAAAGATTATCTAAAAGAAATGCATATCAAATTGTCATGCCTCTTCTCCATGAAAACAAATGCCAGAGAACAGTATACAAAATGTTTAGAGTTTTGAAAGAAAAATTATGACTCAAGAATTTCAAATATGAAAGAGAACATGTATATAAAAATAAATAAAAATAAGATAAAATAGATGAAAAAGAATTTTGTAAATATTTCTGTGCCAAGGCACAGATTAATTTTCTTGGATACAGAAGAAGGGAAATACAACATCACCTACTCTTTCTGAAAAATCTTTCCTGAGGAAATATTTCTGCTGTTTGTTTCAAAATTAAGAACTCAAGAAGAGAAAAAGGGATAGAATAATCACTGCTATGGTAAACAATGAGTCAGAAAAAACACAAACTGTTTATAAAATAACTATGAATATAGTTACAAAATAATTCAGAGAAGAATCTGGGGAGTTGAGTGAGGGGAGAGAGTAGAAGAAATCACGTTAAATTTCCATTTAGACATTTTAGACACTTTTTGGTTTTTAATTTGATAGAGACGTATTACATTTAAATGTTAAAGATAAGCTGTGATAGAGTAAACTAAAAATGGAGAAAAAATTTATTAGTATCTATGGCTACTGTAGCAAGTTGCCACAAACTTTGTGGCTCAAACCAACATAAATTTAGTCTCTCACATTTCTGGAGACCAGAAGTCAGAATCAGTTTTACTGGGTCAAAATCAAAGTGTTGGCAGGGCCACCCTCCCTCCAGAGGCTCCAGTGGAGAATTCCTCCCTTGCCTTTTCCAGCTTTAGGTGGCTGCCAGGATTCCTTGATTTGTGGTCACACCAATCCCATCTCTGAGTCCATGGTTACAACGCTGCTCCTGTCTATGTGTCATATCTTCCTCTGCCTCCCTCTTACACGGATATGTACTATTGTATTGGGACTCACTAGGATAATTCAGAATTATCTCCCCATTTCAAAATCTTTAATCACATCTGCAAAGTACTTTTTTTTTTCCATATAAGGTGACATACATACTTTTCATGAATTAGGATTTGGAAATGTTTGGGGACCATTCTTCAACCTACTACAATTAAATAAAACCAAATAGTAAAGGAAAATAATTGAATAAAAAAATTAACACAGAAAGATTAAAATGAAGTGATTGAAATAAGACCGAATACTGTCAAAATAAATATGAATGGCTTGAGCTCCTTACTAAAACAAAGACTAATTATACACCTCTTCCCAAAGTCCAACTGTATGCTGTTTAGAAGAGAAACCTCTAAAATCAAAAGATTATCAAAGTTTAAAGACTTAGAGAGCAATGTCCAAAAGTATACTGAGAAGCTAAAAACTGAAAGAAGGCATTTATTACAATACTACTATTAGACAAATTAAACTCAAAGCAAATAGCACTACATGGAATAAAGGGATTCTTTATACTGATAATAGATACAATACACAATGGCAACAGAATACTAATAAACCTAGATGTAACAAGTAACACATCACTAAATATGTGTAACTAAAATGTTCAAAGTTCTGCAGAGGGAAATAACACAGTAATGCATAGGTAGAAATATTTAAACAAACTCTAATAACAATACACAATATTGTAAAATATCTAGATCGTATTTTAAAAATCAGTCATAAACTAAACTACCAAGAAAACGTCAATAGATTCCAAAAAGTGGAATTTACACAATTCACATTTTTAAAACAGCAATAAAAAAGCTGAAATTAGTATCATTTTTTTTAAATACCACTTCGAAATTTAAACACCCTTATAATTAGCTTGAGTCAAGAAGGAAATTAAAGTACAATTATAGTCAATTCATAAATGTCAACAATGAAAATTCTACACATCAACAACATATGGGCTACCATTTGGAGAACAGATGGCAGCTTGAGGACATATGTCTGAATTCTCACTACCCTACCCTCAATTCTGACAAAAATGACCCAGGAAATATGAAACCAAAAAAAAAAAAAACTTGCAGAAAAGTAAGACTTAAATGCAGGAAACTTAAAAGTGTTTATTTAGAAAATATACCAGATTGGATTCATTTAAAGTAGGATCTCTGGACTGACTTTTAAAAAATCAATATACTTTATGTTTTAGAATAATTTTAGTTTTACAGAAAGAATTGAGCAGATAAGGCAGAGTTTCTGTATTAGCACTCCTCCCTTCCCCACACTTTCTCTTATTATAACCATCTTAAATTAGTGTGGTTCATTTTTAAAATTGATGAACCAATACTGATACATTATTATTAACTTAAGTCCATGGTTTATACTGAGATTCATTCTTTGTGTTGTATGAGGTTTGGCAAATGCATAATGTCATTTACCCACTATTATAGTATCATAGAGAAGAGTTTCACTGTCCTAAAAAATCCCTTGCACTTGACTTATTCAATCCCTCCAAATCTCTGGCAACCACTAATCTTTTTACTGTCTCCATAGTTTTGCCTTTTCCAGAATGTCATATAGTGGTAGTCATACGCATGTAGCCTTTTTAGACTAACTTCTTTCACTTAGCAATATGCATTTAAGATTTCCCCATGACTTTTCATGGCTTGATAACTCATTTTGGTTTTTATGCTGAATAATATTCCATGATATGAGTATACCACAGTTTATTTCCTCCATGTTTTTTCATGGCTTGATAGCTCATTTTGTTTTATCACTGAATAATACTTCCATTATATGGATGTATCTAAGTTTATTTATCCATTTAGCTTTTGAGGAATATCTCACTTTCAGATTTTGGCAATTAAGAATAAAACAGCTATAACCATTGTTGTGCAGGTTTTCATGTGGATATCATTTGTCAGCTCAATTGGGTGAATACCTAGGAGCACAATTGCTAGATTGTATGATGACAGTATGCTCAATTTTATCAGAAACCACCAAACTGTCTTCTAAGGTAACTGTTCCATTTTGCATTCCCACAAGGAATGAATGAGACTTCCTGTAGCTACACATTGTCACTACCAGTTCATACTGTCAGTTTTTTAAAAATTTTATCCATTTTAATAGATGTGTAGTGGTACACATTGTGTTTTAATTTGTAATTCCCTCATGCCATATAATGTTGAGCTTCTTTCCATATGCTCGTTTGTCATCTGTGTATCTTTTTTGATGAAAGGTCTGTTCAGGTATTTTGACCGTTTTGACAATGGTTGATGGTTTTCTTATTGTTGTGTTTTAAGAATTCCTTGTATATTTTGGATATAAATTCTCTATCAAATCTGTTTTTCAAACATTTTTCCCATTGTGTGCCTTATTTTTTCAGTCTCTTAAAAGTGTCTTTTGCAAAGGATAAGCTTTAAATGTTCATAAAACCTAAGTGTTCACTTTTTTCTTTCATGGATTATGCTTTTGGTGTTGTATCTAAAAAAAAATTTGAAAAATGTAAGATCTCCTAGATTTTCTCCTATGTTATCTTCTAGCAGTTTTATAATATTGCATATTTCATCAAGATCCACAATTCATATTAAGTTATTTTTTGTGAAAGGTGTAAAGTCTGTGTTTAGATTCTTATTTATTTAGTTTTGCACATGAATGTCCAAATTCTCGAGAAGCATTTCTTGATTAGGATATTCTTTCTCCATTAAATTGTCTTTGCTTCTTTGTCAAAGATCAGTTAGACTTTTTGTGTGTTTCTGGGCTCTCTATTCTGTTCCATTGATCTATTTGTCTATTCTTTTGCCAATATCATGCTGTCTTGATTTCTGTAGCTTTATAGTAATTTTTGAAATCTGATTCTATCAGTCTTCCAAAGTTGCTCTCCTTTTTCAATATTGTGTTGGCTATTTTGTGTCTTTTACCTTAAACTTTAGAGTTTGATCATATCTATAAAATTACTTGGAGAGATTTTGATTGGGATTGCATTGAATTTATAAATCACATTGGGCAGAATTAACTTCTTAACAATAGTGAATCTTCCTATCTATGAACATAGAATATCTATACATCTATTTAGATATTGTTTGATTTTTTTTAATCAGAATTTTTCAGTTTTCTTCCTATTGATCTTGCACATATTTTATTTTATTTAGACCTAAATATTTCATATTTTTGGTGCTAACATAAATGGTACTGTGTTTTTAATTTATAATTCAAGTTGTTCATTGCTGGCATACAAAAAAAAAGGCTTTTGTGTACTAACCTTAATTCTGCAAACTTACTATTTTCACTTGATTGTCTGCGAAGACAAACTTGTCATCTGTGAACAAAGATGTTTTTGCTTCATCTTTTCCAATCTGTGTACCTTTTATTTCTTTTTCTTGTCCTATTGAATTAGTTGGAACTTCCAGTAAGATGCTGAATAAAAGTGGTGAGAAGAGACATACTTGCCTTATTTCCAATCTTAAAAGGAAAGTTTCTAGTTTCTGACCATTAAGTATGAGGTTAGCTGTAGGTTTTTTGTAGATGTTTGTTATCAAGTTGAGGAAGTTTCTCTCTATGCATAGTTTGCTGAGAGTTTTTATAATGAATGGGTATTGGAATTTATCAAATGTTTTTTCTGTATCTATTGATATAATCATACAATCGTTTTTTATATTTGATGTGATGGATTACCTCAGTTAATTTTGAATGTTGAACCAGCCTTGCATACCTGGAGTAAATCCCCCTTGGTCATGGTGTGTAATTCTGTTTTTTTTTTTCAGGTTTGCCACAGATGAATTTATTCCTCACTCTGAGATGAATGTAAGGTATTTCTTTTTTTTTCTTTAATTCATTTTATAAGTTCTTTTATTCAATTTGCTAATATTTGTTGAGAATTTTTACATGTATGTTCATGAGAAATATTGGTCTGTAGTTTTCCTTTCCTGTAATGTCTTTGGTTTCGATGTTAAGATAATACTGGATTCATAGAATGAGTCAGGAAGTATTCACCTTGCTTATATTTTCTGGAAAAAAAATTGCAACTAATTGTCATTTCTTTCTTAAGTGTTTGGTAGAATTCAGCATTGAACTCATCTAGGCCTGGTGCTTTCTTTCTTGAGAGGTTATTAATTGTTGATTTGATTTCCTTCATTGATACAGGTCTTTTCAGATTGTCTGGTTCTCCTTATGTAAATTTAGGCAGATTGTGTCTTTGAAGGAATTGGTCCATTTTATCTAAGTTGTTCATAAGTTTTCTTTATTGTCCTTTTAATGTTCGTGTGATCAGTAGTGATGGCCCCTCTTTAGTTTTGATGTTAGTAATTTGGGCTATTCCTCTTCTTTTCCTGATTAGCCTGGCTAGAAGTTTATCCCTTCAAAGAACTAGCTTATGATTCCATTGATTTTCACTATTGATTTCTTGTTTTCAGCCATTTTATTTAATAAATGCCCCATGGACTGTTGCAAACTTCTGGTTAATTTCTAGGTTGTTAAATTTTGGATTTTGACAATTTTTAAGTTTTCTTGGTGCCTTTATAGAGAAGAGAATTAACAGAGTTTCTGACTCTACCATTTTGCTATGTTACCAAAATGTATTTACGTATAGTGTTATCTTAATAGTCGTTGTAAATAGTGTTAGAAAAAATATTACTGACAAGAATAATTCTTGATAAAGAAGGCATTTTATAGTTAACAATTAGAAAAAAAATCATACCGTGTTTTTGAAAAATGTGAAAGTAAGTGTGGAGCCAGCCTCCAAGATATCTTGCCTCCAGGTTTCACTTCTGTGGCTCCCTTCTCACCCTAATGAATCAGAGCTGACTTGCGTGACCAGTAGAATAATGTGGAGGTGATGGTGTATGACTTCAGAGACTAGTTCATAAAATATATTGCCACTTCTACCTTGGTTTCTTGAATGGCTTGTTCTTGGGAAAGCTGGTTGCTGTGTTGTGAGGACACTAAAGAATACTTGTGAGATGCCCACGGGGAGAAGAGCTGAGTATTCTGCCAAAAGCTAGCACTCTTGCCAGATCTGTGAGTGACCACTTGAAAATGAGTTGTCCAGTCCCAGTCAAACCTTCTAATGACTGTAGTCCCAAGCAACATCTGACTGAATTTTATGATAAGCCTTTAGCTACATCTGTGAGACCCAGCTGTCCCAGAATTGTTGATTAATAAAAACTGTGAGATAATGTTCACTGCCTTAAGCCACTAAGTATTAGCATAATTTGTTTCTCAGCAGTTGAGGCAGCAAGTAATTGAAAACATTTATCTACAAGGAAGCAAAAATCCTCAAGAAAAATTGAAATATGTTTTAAAAAATTGCCCCTGAGAAAATACCCGGCCCAGAGAGTAATAAGAGATCGTTCACATCTACTAAACTTCCAAGGTTATCATCAGAGCACAAAAAAGATTATAATTGTAACTATTCTCTATTTGCTTTCTGAAGATAGAACAACTCCATTATCAAGATCTGAATATGATAGAACAAATGGAAATTGTAATCTCACTTAAAAATATAGATGAGAGATTCTAAAAATCCTACTAACAAATATAATGTAGCAGGCTAAGCCTTTCCGGAGATGCACTACACATCTATAAAGCTACAATAATTTAGACCTAAAGTACTGGTATCAGAATAGAAATTTATTAATGAAAAATAATTTTAAAAACTCAGAACAGAACACATCAATCTTAATGCCAGTTATGAAATAGTTCACTCTTTCCATAGTTAGTTGAAGTATACAATCTATATTATATACCTATATGATGTATTAATAATATATGTATATGGTACATATATAATACTTTACACCAAATATATGTGTCTTACATTTATATTTTTTCATTGCAATATGCTCAACAGGCAAAGCGTAAACACCTTTAATCTAAAAATAGATATTAACAGTAACAGAAAATAACAAGTATTCCAGCTATAAAAGAACTGAAAAAGGATAATAGGCAATTTAGAGAAGAAGAAATTTAAATGTCCATAGATCTTTTAAAAGGTTCAATTTAGGTAGTAATACAAGAAATGCAAATTAAAACAACCTGAGATAATATTTATTTTCTAACACGCTGCCAAAGTTTTTCAAAAAGACAGTAGCCAGTGTTGGGTTAGTTTGAGGGAAAAAAAGCCAAAAAAAAAAAAAAAGAAAGTTGGCCTATTTTCTGGAGATTATTCACCCAGTGCTATGTACGAGCCAAATGTTTGTGTCCCTCTCAAGTTCACATGTGGAAATCCTAATACCCAGTGTGATGGTGTTAGGAGATGGAGCCTTTGGGAAATGATTAGGTTATGAGGGTGGAGCCCTCATGAGTGGGATTTGTGCTGTTAGGAAAGCTGTCCAGCAGAACTCCCTTGCCCCTTCTGCCATGGAGGAATTAACGGGAAGTCTGCAGTCTGGAAGAAGGCCCCCACCTGCCCATGCTGGCACACTGATCTTGGACTTCCAGCCTCCAGAACTGTGAAAAATAAATGTTTGTTTTTTATAAGTCATCTGCTCTGAGGTATTTTTCTTGTAGTGGCCTGAATGGACTAAGACAACCAGAATATGTCAAAAGCTTTAATAGGGACCCAGAAATTTTACTTAATGCTTGAAATGAATGTTTATGTCCTTATTATTGCTTCTTTGTGTTTTCTTTACACATGTATTATTTTTAACAACAAAAAATTTTTTTAAAGTCCTACAAATTTTGTTTGTCCTGTCCACTAGGAGGGAGTGAGCAGTTTGTTGCATTGGAGTGCAGGGTTTTATATTATTTTCCTTATGGAGAATCCAAGGGCTAATTTTGGTGTCAGTTTGTCTCATCACATTTGGAAGGTGCCACATACCTGCAAATAGCGGACCACTCGGCACACCAGATCGGGAGCCATGAAGTCTCCAGTGAATCGCCAAATGATATCTGTCAAGATGTTAACCAGTCCTGTGAAAGAATCTAACAAAAACAGTGGTTGAGTTCAGTCTCTTTCAAATTTGCAGCTATGCCACAGTAGAAATAAATTCCTGGGGAGATTTTTTTTTAATTTATTAGGTGGCCACTGAGGAAATACAAGGCAAGGCAGGAGTTTTGACTTTATTATTGGAGCCTGTTACCACTCGGATGTAGCCACTTAGGAAGGATTTTGGTAATGACTGAATTATACTAATCAGAGTTGTAACAGTCTTTTGGATGTCAGTGTCCACGGTCTTCACCACACTATGTGTGTTTTTCTCTTCCCTTCCTTCTTTCCCTCTTTCTTTATTTTCCCTCTTTCCTTCTTTTCTTCTTCCCTCCTCCTCCTTCTCTCTCTTCCTTTCTTTTCGTATCTGTTTTCTCTTATTCCCTAAACTAATGTCCAGGCATGAGGTTCTGTCTTCCTCCTTTTCCCTCATTCCCTGCCCTGCCTGCTCTGATTTCTCTTTATTTATAGGGCCACTCTGCCCACAGAAGTCCTTTTTATTCCTGCAGAGAACTGGGAGGGTCAGTCTTCCCTTTCTGCATCTTCACATTAAGTCTGAGTCCCCAGTTTAGCATCAAAGCCTTCCACGATCTGGTGTTAGCTGCCTCTTGCCAAGTCCCCAGCTGTCATTTTTATATTAAACATCACATGGCTCACACATTTGTGTTTGCAGAGATACATTCCCTCTGCTTGGAATGGCCTCTTTCCATTTCTCAGCCTATTGAATTGTTGTCCCCCTTTCACTCTCTAGCTGACAATTCCCCTGCTGCAGGAGACTTCCTTAACCTCATGGTAGGGTCCACCACAAAAGACCATGTGGCCCTCCCTGTCTTATGCCTGTCTGCCTCTTCCTTTTTGTTTCTCTATAGATAACAACAATTAGAAGCATTGGCAAGCACACGGAATGACAGCAAAATTTCAAAAGATTGGAGAAGAGAAATCTCACGAAGTTCTGGGTAGTCAGAGAAGTTCTAACTGAGAAAGTCAGATGTCTTTAGAGCTGTGGGTTGTGATTTGATCAAATAAGAATTTCATGGAGCTTTTCCTGGCAGGGATGGACTGGATGAATGAGTGGGATAGACATCGGAGTTACTTGGATATTCTCTTTTGGGTTTTATTTATTCCTTAATTTAAAAATAATCAGAAAAAGAAAACCCAAGCTTATGTTTCTCTAGATCTAAGTGGCTATATGAACAATTATAATGTACTCCAGTAAAAATGTTTTCTTTTTTTGTTTTCTCCTGGAGTTCAGTCCTAAATAAACCCACTTCTGGGAGGAGACTACCAATGGCCTGTGCCACTGCGTTTGTTATCTCCTATTAAGCAAATGCTGCTCTATCTGATCAGTAAAAGCTATTTAGTTGCCTAAGTAACTGAGTACATTGCAAATAAGCCTTTCCTAAGTGGTCATTAACAGGACCTTGGGAACAGGTTACAGGCTTAATCACTTCCACATATGACTCTTGCTTGTTAAAAATGTCTTCCCTGAAAGATTCTAGGAAATGGTTATACTCAGCAAAGCTGAAACTGGCTCACAGAGGGCTTTATTGTGTCTCTGATATGTTCTTGGAAACAGGAACATGGGTTCCCAATTGGAGCATGAATATGGGTAGAGTGGGAAGAAGTCAAAATGAGGTGACACCTGAGCTGAGCCCTGAAGGATCAGTAAGGAGAGGTCAGGGGAAAGGGAGGAAGTACATTGATTCTGGCACAGGTGACAGCATGAACAAAGTCATGGAGGTGAGAGAAAGGGAGATGGGGAACCAAATAGCTTATGCATATGGAACAACATCAGTTTGTTACTGCTGAAGCCTAAAATAGGTGCTTGAAAGAGGCAAGAAATGGTCCTGGAGAGATAAGATTCTAGGAATTTTAGAGTCTTATGTGCCCATTAGAGGAGCTTTCATTTCTCCATATACTGAGTGAACAGTTAAATGTTCATGTATTTAGGCACGTGTTTTACATAGATTTCTTTAGTTACTGTGGTGGTTGGGGAGTGGGAGGAGTGAATTTGGTAGGTTCAATACTGGAATTACTGTTTAGATTTGTTAGGAAATTGTGCAGAATGTCCAGAAAGAGATTGGTACCTAGTCTATGTCAAAGAGGAGTAAAATTATAGAACAAGGTGCAGATTTGAGATGTACTGTATAAGGTAAAATAAGGAGGATTTGGTGACTATTAGAAGTTTTAAAGGTGAGATAGAGGGAAACGTTGACAATATATTTCAAGTCCTGGCTTGGTATCCCTTGTAGATGGTGGTGCTTCCTGTGATACGGGAGGATAATCTCATTCTATTTGCTTCCTGTTTTCAGCTGTTCCAAATGAAGCTGCCATGAACATTCATGGATAAGATTTTGCATGAACGTCAGTTTTCATTTCCTTAGGGTAAATATCCAGGAGTGAGATTGTTGAGCCATAGGGCAAGTATCTGCTTAACTTCATGAGAAACAGCCCAACGGTTTTCCAGAGTTCCGCAGTGATCTCCACCAAAAAGTCTGAGATACAGTGCTTGTGCATCCCTGCCAGCACTTGGTATTGTCAGTATGTTTCTCTCAGTCATTGGACTATGTATGTGATGGCCTCTTACCGTGGCTTCGATTAGCATTTCCCTAATGGTTAATGCTGTTGTTGCTTTGGTCATCCTCAGCCCTCTTTGGATGCTTTCTTAGCATGGGAGCTGGGGTGCTGGAGGGTTTTAATGCTCCACTCTTGGCTTTCTGTTGCATCTGCATTCCTGTAAGGCTGTACTGCCTGTTGCTCAATGCTTGCTGTGCTGGTGGATGTGGGGCTATATTTTGTCCTGACTCAGCCTCAGTCTCACATAGACCTGTGTACCTGGGCCTTGAGGGTGGGACACTCTCATTGTTCCAATTCCTCGCTCCCGTGGCAGTCACACTCCTGCCTTTGATCTGGGGTGATCTTGTGTGGGAGAGAGTTTCAGTCTCTTCCCCTAGCGGTGGGAGACTTCTGATGGTATTGGTGTGGTATCCTGGACCAGCTGCTTTGTACCCCCATCCCCAAGAGTTGAGTGTTTCTATTGTTGTTTCTGTTCCTGTCCCTGTGCTCCAGGGGCACCAGTATTTGGTCTCACAGGGGCCTGGGGGTTTTGCTGAGAAACATGACTCCAGGAGGGCAATATTTCATGCCTTTCCTGCAGACGTGGCCTAAACCTTCCTGTATACATGCACACTGTCTCTGCACCAACTCCTTCATTCTGCCATTGTGGTGTGGAAGCAGCCATAGACACTCCTCTAACTGAATGGGCATGGCTGTGTTGCAATAAAACTTTATTTGTAAATATAGGCATAGGGCTGAATTTGGCCTGTGGGCTGCAGTTTGCCAACCTTTGGTCTACAGAATAAACTTCAAATGCCTTATTGTGACTTCCTGCCTCCCTCTTCAAGCTGATCTTTTCTCCTTTCATTTTAAATTCATACTGTAAGAGAAACCCTTTTAAACAGCACATTAAAGCTGATATCCAGTTAGTTGGTCAAAACGTTGGTTATAGAAAGGACACCCACAAGCCCACCTTAAAATATCTTAACATAGCATATAAATGTGCATTTGCTTGTCCTTTCTTTAACATAGGGCCAAGACTTTTATTTGATTTTATACATCATCTTCTTTTGGTGCATAAAATAAACCATAATGCATCTTTTATGATTTCCAGTTCTGGTTTCTTTAAATTAGAGTGAGAACTTGAGATATCAGCAAAGCAATTTGAGGCAGAATCTCATTGTAGGAATTTTTATAATCCGCCTTCATTCTTTTATAGTTCCATTCCCTGAGCCTAATTCTACTGCAGCTTCTAGTGACTCAGTAAAAATAAAAAGTCAATTCTTTCAAAGTATTCAACTTAATTTTCACAGAAACAACTCTTCTGTGTTGTCTACGTTCATTATAATTGATATGTTAATTATGTAAATGAGTACAACTGGCATAAACTGGTTGGGAACAAACACTTGTGACTCCTATAACCCAAGGGTGGGGAGCAGAAATGAACAGGCTTTTTAGGGTCTATCCATCTCGTCATGGATGTTAGTTAGTCACGGTGTTTTGCAGAAAGAGTGGAGAGTGTTGGTGAATCCAGTTGGCAACAGCTTCTACTGGGAACCCCTTACTGCTCCTTGACCATCCCCAGCCGTTCATTCTGCCAGCCCCTTTCTTTATGCTGTTCCCTTGATATGGGAGGTTCTTTATGCACCTCCACCTGAAGGGCATTTCCTAACTCTTTTAGGTTTAGTTCAAGTTTACTTCCTTTATGATGCTTTTGCTTTTCTTCTTCATGAAGACTACTGAGATTGGTTGATTTCTTCCTCTGGGCTTCCCCCTACCCTACTATTGAAGAAGTACCTGTAACACATTAACACATTTTTTCCCTTCTTTCTGATTCTACTATATGGGAAGATAGAGATTTTTTAATTCACCTTCATATCTTCGGACCCTAACATTGTCTTATTAAGTGGGAAAAGCTTGATGACTTTCTGTTAGGTGTATAACTATATTATTATTGCTGTTGCTTGATTGGCTAGCTACAGGAGAGGTGGTTCCACAGAGCAGACTGAGCCACATTCACCATCTCCTTCAGCGGAGATTAAGATAGTGATTACAGAATCAAGATGCTGGAAGAAGGAACATGATTGGACATTTTCATCCCCAAGCAGATTTCTGAAAAAATTTGGATTCTAAGGTCTCTGCTGGGTGGCAAGACCACAGGGGTGTGCCTTACTCATATTTATAGTCTCATCTCTTTTCATGGTGTCTTACAAGATACTCAGTGCTTGCTATATAAAAAAGGAAATGTTGGCCTAGTAAACAGATTTGCAAACTTCTTGAAAATGCAAGGCCACCAGTGTAGGATTCACTCTGAGTAGAGAGCAGGCTGAAGCACCATTTCTTAGATTTCTGCTTGCTCTGAGTTGATGTTTGAACTTTCCTCTGCAGAGCAGAACACAATTTTTAT